GTTATGGTAAGGTAAACACACCTGAAAGAAGTAACAATTGGTTATGCACTTTAAAATATGCCAGCAGAGCCTGTCAGATAAATAGGAATGAGCTTTATACAATATGCAACTGTTAATGCGCACCTTTTCCAGTACTTAGTTTCCAATACTAATAAACATATATTAGCTTATAAATGCAAATAATGTACATACTCGTACATACACACTTGTACTATTTTACCATTGTGGGCAACTTTCGAAAAACTATGAAAAAAAAAAAAAATTCAAACATACTCAGCTGTTATGGTAAGGAAAACAAAAACCAGTTTATGCGGAAGTTAGTTGAAGAGGTGTGCGCATTTTTTTAAATCTTAAAAACACGTTCCATATATAAATAAGTATGTTTAAATGAGTACATACATTGTGCATAAGTGAACAAAAACTTTTAATAATAATAATAGCAGGAAGTTGACTGCGTATTGTCTTATTGGGGGGCACACGGACAAAGAGCATCCATTATTTGTACTAATATACATCTGTATATACATATGTGTGAGTGAGCAAAGCACAGTTATGGTTCATCACATACAACGGGACAATCAAATAAATATTGCTAAGGAATCAGCGCTACGCACTCACTATGTCCGGCGATTCTTTCTCCCGTTCACCTCGAGTTTTAAGCACAATCTCCATGCAAGGCAGCAAGGGCCAGATACCACCCTGTACTGCCTTCCGGACTACTCCAGGCGGCATTTGCGCTGGGCCACCTTGATCCCCGCCTACATTCATGTGTTCCTGTCCTCAAGTTCATAGAAATACCATTAAAGGTCATTGAGCTATCGATTTACTGGGAAAACAACAGGATCCCATGAGAGGCCAAAGGCTACCAGCACCCAAGAACTGTGTTCAATGCTGTATGACGTCAATGCGTGCAATTTTGTTTGAATCCAAGAAAATATGTATATTTGCCCGAGGTGTGAGTCGCCAAGTTAATGCGCTACACGGCACATCATCAAGCACTGGATAAACGATTCGGCATGCATTCATTTACATGATTTATATATTAATATCTGTGAGGGATATTGCTTTAATAACTGTGTCTTTTTTAAAGTCTAGGTAGGATTAAAAAATATTCTACGTGACTCTGAAATAATTAAAAATCCAGCTAAATTCAACTTATTCTTTACAATACTGATTAAGACATAAATTAGCTCAGACATATTTCGTTTGAAAGAGCATTTCCTTGAAAGTACTAAAGCACTAAATTGAGGCATAGTTTTAGTTAAGAACAGTTGTTTCTGTTCATTAAAATATAGAATCTGAAAATGATGTAAGAGAACTTCTTTTAGAGCAATTATGTTGTTATATTTTAGTAATTAAAGTAAAATAATGCCATATAGTATAAGAAATTTGATTATTATTATATGTACACATTTAAAAGAAACAAAGCAAAAATTTTAAAGAAAGAACAAAGCTATTTTTTGTATACATTTATATGTATACATTTAAAAGACAGAGGAAAATTTTTAGAGAAAAACAAAGCCATTATTTTTAGATGTAAGCAATTTTACACACCCCTTTCTTTAAACTTAGGACTTATTAGATTTGTTCTATTTTAAAAAATAAATTTCATTTTGATATTATTTGGTTGAACTTGTCGTTATAATGTTGTTTTGTTTTTGTTGTACCAGCTTGGTACTAGCGTGGATGAGAGCCGATCAATTCGGAATTACTGTCAAATTGTGGGCCCGACTCGATTATCAATGTTACTGTGATACAAACAATCTTTCAACGCGTCCTGACCACACCCAACCCTCCTTACCCTAACTTGGCGTTGACATGGGTTGCACAGCTTGGAGTCGAGCACAGCACCATTTCAATTAATATCGATTTTATCTGTACGTCAGCAGGCACTCATGAAGTGCCAGTAAGCAGCAGATGGCAGACACTGGCACAGAGTAGAGAACTGCAATCGGAGTGAGGTCGAAATTTGAATCGGAGCAATGCCTCCCCCTAGTGTGCTGAAATGTGCGTGGTACGCGCGCATTATGCGTCCCAACTGAGCAGCAAACTGCGAAATGTCATAATGTTGCCTGTTGGCGCCTCTGGAATTAACAGCAACAGCATTGGAACAATTCCTTGGCTTGATGCTCCGCTTTTAATCAAATCGAACATTGCGCTCTCCCGGACATGCGCCCGGGCTGCTGCAGCCCCGTTAATATTTCCAGATTGCAGCCAATGCGCAATGCATAAAGCACAGCTTTGAGCAACTCTAGGCCAGCAATTACATCCAGTTGGGGCCCATCTTAAAAATGTGGCCGAGTGGGCGTAGCGGGTAACACACTATCGCCAGCTCCTGGGCACCTGTCACAAGTGTCTGCGGGCCGACCCACGCATTTGACGGCAACAGTTTGCACAATGCACACGGTTCCGAGACCACAAGTTCAGGGCCTGCAGGATGTGCACTGTGCAACGGCCCGTGCCGAGCTGACCTGAAACCGGCGGCGCATCGTTGCGTGGGCGTAAAGTTCAATGTGCAACAGGCAAACATGAGTTGAAAGTAGCAGTTGCAGCAGCCATGATTCAAATAACAGATGGCAGCCGCTAGAGATGGTCGCGTGACAGCACAAAAAATGTTAACGACGACCTTTATTTTCAGTTAACGACTAACACAGAATATAGTATTGCTTCTTTAAGGCCTTATATCTGTCCGTCGCCTTCAATCACTGCCATATTTTAAATCCATAGAGCAGAAAATTTGCATTACAATCTAATTATAATTTAAAGAAAGCAAACGTTAAAGAGCGAAATTATTTAGTGATGGCAAACGTGGGTAGAGAAAAGTCTTTCCATTCTATTTGAGGAACTTTCGGGTAATGTTGGATAGTTCAGTTCAATTTCATGAATATATTTACTTATTATTTTCCTACTTTCCCACTTGCTTAATTCATTCCACTTGTTCTAACTAGAAACAAGTAGAGAAGCTACAGTCGGGTGTCCCGACTTTAAAATACTCTGTACATATGTTTAGAATAATTATAAAAACTAAAAAAAGTAAGAGAATTAACAAAAATATTTTTGATCGTTTTTACCTCTTTTGGTATTCGAACTCACGTAAAGGGTGTATAATTGCACATATACAAAGCAATTGCGTCTATGTGAGTGTATGTATGTTTATGCTCGTATATTCGTGTCTGTGTAAGCATGTTCGCAGTCAACCAAACAGCAACATCAACAACAGCCGCGGGCATTGTTAAGTCGGTCTATCATGATGAAACTTGGCACACGGACACAATTACTAACTGGGGGTATTTACAAAATTTTAGTTCGAAATTCCAAGAATTACGGGAGTTAGAGAAAATCGCGATTTGCGGGGGAGAGGGGGGAGGGAGGGAAATTCCAAAATACACATTTTCTGCGTATTCTCATAAGGCATCTGGGACTAAAATTTGGTGTCCGTAGGTCTTATAGTCTCTTAGAAATAGGCGATTATACGAATGGAAAATCGGGAAAACCCCTATAGGGGGGAAGTGGGGGGAAAATCAGAAAAATAAAACAATCTTGCACAGCGTACACATATAACGCATCTTTGTGCAAAATTTGGTGTCTCTATCTCTTATAGTCTCTGAGATCCAGGTGTTCATACGGACAGACAGACAGACAGGGCTAGATCGATTCGTCTCGTCATGCTGATCAAGAATATATATACTTTGTGGGGTCTGCCACGCCTCCTTCTGTCTGTTACATTTTCAGCTCCCGCAACCCTAATATACTCTTGTACATTTTATGTACAGAGTATAAAGATCCAAGTTAACTATTGTGGTGTTGGGTGAGAAATCTATTTTATGGGTCTTTCCTGTAAATGTAGATGACACTAAGACCCTATAAAGAATTGTTGATATTGTTTGTTTCAGTGCCTATTTAGTAAAATTTTTACAATTTTATCCATAGTAGGATAGTAGGGATGTGTAATTACACGAAAAAATAACTTAATAGTATATTTAAAATGGAGTGGCAGCTCCATTGCTCTTTGGCACTTAGATGCTATAAAGATTTGTTGATATTAATTGTTTTAGTGCCTATTTAGTATAATTCTTACAACTTTATCCATAGTAGGATAGTAGGGATGTGTAATTACACGAAAAAATACCATTAATAGTATATTTAAAATGGTATGCTTTCCAGCTATAGCTCAGTAAGCTCATTAGGTATTGGTCCTATCACGCCTAAGGACCATCTCTACCGACAAAGGGTTGCACTGGAAGTAGCCGCCCCCATTGTAGCGCAGTGCCGATTTATGCGCGCCTGTGTCGCATATTCCAAAGCGCCCACGCATTAGTCCATTTGCCGCTGCTTACAGTGAAGCAGCATGGCCCACTGCTCAAGCTTCGCATTCATGTGGACAATGCGGTCATTTAATGGGCCACTAGTTGCACGCGTCGAGCCTTTACGCTAGCCATATTTTGCCCACGCACCTGCTGCCGGCGATATCAGGTGCCCAGAAACCGCCAGAACGACAATGAGCGACTGCGCGCTCACTCGAATTCGGCTCGGGCTGCAATATTGAGATGTTGCAATTGCTGCGTGGGTGCTGGTGCTGGTGCTGTAGGCAGGTGGCACTGTCGTCGCCTGGAAGTGTTGAGCACAGCGAGCGCAGTACAGCGCAGCTTCCGCTGAGAGCAGCTTCCGCTGAGAGCAGCTTCCGGTACAGACGGCGGGCGTTTGCAACCACCACCACCAACAACAACAATAAGTGCAACTGCCTGCGTGGGCGGCGCATTGTTGCATTTGCCATTGCGTTGGTGCGAATGCAGAAGCAAGAAGCTTATGCAGACTGGAAGTTGATGCGTCCTGCCAAGCGATACATAAAACCGAAGTAATGGGCACAGACAGTTCTAGACGCGCGCTTAACCGAGTAGCAGTTTACGCTGAAGAAGTTTTAACTAAACCTTTAAGTAGTATATTCCAAAAATATTTATTTAGTTCTTTGCATTTTCTAGCGCACTATCTGAACAATATTTCGATGCCTTTATGGATGTATTTGTAGCATTGGCTATTATTGCATTGGAAATAGCATGCATTGTTCGCATTTTGATCTTCGCATCTGAATGTTGTTCAGATTTTGTTGCCAACTATTTTTAAGACGAACATTAGAAAAAGTTCCGCAGTATAATTCAAAAGTAAAGGAGAAGTGACTGCACCATCAACTAAAACGCAAACAACAGGTAGGTTATGCAATATCAGAACCAAAATATTATGCATACCATACTTTGCACGATTTATAAGTGCATATAGTATACCGAATGTACATACATACATATGAATATATCCTATAAGTATTTATATTTAGCTTTTTATGAAAATCAAATGACCTGCATCTTATTTTTTTGGCGCCCACACATGACCAAGGCTGTCATATACTTGTATAATGTAGTTACTACAGTGAATATTGCAAATAGGAGCTTACAGCTTTGACAAAGACCCTCAGAGATAAGTAGGATGCAATACATTCAGAGATGATTGTCAAAAATTATTAAAGAAAAGATAATGTATAAATAGTGAAATGAAATTTAAAATAAATAAAAAATCACACCGTTTTTTATGTTAAACCTATAGAAATAGTTACTACGTGACTCTAGATTGCGAGCATCCACTGTGATAGTCGGCCAGTTTGCACTTGCAGCGTCAATGTCATTGGGCAAGGTTTGTTATACAAATAACACACTTTGTATACAATTGCATATTATTATTGAACTTTAATATAGAAACAAGCGTCAAGCAAGTTGTTCAAAAATAGCAACTACGTTGATTAAAAACAACAACAACAAAACAAACAAAAAAAAAAAACAAACCGTGATAACGAGCACTACACATGGCAATTTTTATTGCTGAATTTAATGCTCAGTTTATTTTGAAGTTTAACATTTAATCGGTTTTCATGACATCAGATCGTGTTGATTGTGAAGGCGCTTTCAAGATGAAACAGCTTCAAGCTATTTTCAAACAAACTTTTCAAAAACAATAGACATCATGTGCAAACAGGTTGCAGGTGCCATCAATAAGATGGTGAAGGTCACATATTAATGCTTGATGGTAGTTAAGCATGGAAGGAAGCCTGAACATCGTACCAATAGCAGAGTCAATATACGGCGAAATTAATTATTAATTAATTAATTAATTGTTCAAGCAAAAAGAATGCGATAAAGGAAGATGATAATTTAATTCTACTTGTATTTTATTTTCATTTCTTCTTTTATTTTAATTTCTATATTTCTTTTTTATTATCTCTGAATACTCTGCGGGGCATAAGCCGGCTATTTGTCAAATTGAGTCAGATTCCTTGAAAGGGTATACAGTTTTGTGCGAATGTATGTAACACACAGAAAGAGGCGTGGCAGACGGGCTCTGCCCGCAGCTGTTGTTATTAATGACTTAATTTTGTAATGCACACATACAGGCTTATAAACACGCATAGACACAATTCTGATGTGAATGTATTTTGTTGTAACTGTACATAAACACATTTAATTTATAAAATTCATTTAATTTTGTTTAAATATATTTTTTTGTTATTTATTTTTTGTGAGAGTGGGTACGGGGTATTTAACATCGACTCTAGCATTTCTTTCTTGTTTACTCTTTAATTTTTTGTTTTAATTTTTTTTGACATCGACAGCTTTGTTGTTGAAATAAATAATGATGTCGTACGAAAGCAATGCTTCAATGACATAGCAAGAGAAATGATCATAGTATAGGGTATAGAATAGCCATTTTAACGTTTTATACCCTGTACCCAAAGGGTGAAAGGGTATACTAGCTTTGTGCGAATGTATGTAACAAGCAGAAGGAGGCGTGGCAGACCCCACAAAGTATATATATTCTTGATCAGGATGAGAAGACGAGTCGATATAGCCATGTCCGTCTGTCCGTCCCTCCGTCCGTCTGTATGAACGCAAGGATCTCAGAAAGTATAAGAGGTAGAATAACCAAATTTGGTATCCAGGTTCTCCTAAGTCCAAGAAAGGACGAGTTTGTGTTTTTTTTCTGATGCACCCCCCCACTCCCCCCCCCCTATTCGAGATTTTTTATAACTCCCGTAATTCTTAGAATTTGAAACTAAAATTTGGTAGACACATCCAGATAGTGATTATATAAGTTATGATAGGTTGATCAGAAAGAAAGTTATAGCCATATAACCAGGCCCAATGCACACATACATACATATGTACAAATACACCAACACGAATAGAACCGATTTAGTTAATTAATTAAATTTAGTTAATTAAATTCATTAAATCAAATAATTAATTAAATTAAATATTATTATTTTTTTGTGGGGTGGTACAGGGTATTTAAGAGTTGAGTCTGCTCGACTTTAGCATTCCTTTCTTGTTAATATATCGAAAAGTCACTTTTGTTTGTTCCAGCTATACACAGCGAAACTTTAAATACTTACACAAATGGGTACCCAAAAGAATAATACTAGTGATTTGCCCCCCTGGGCCCATCGCATGAAGAGCTATCAGTGCAAGCAGGCGGACATGAATCGCTTGGTTATGAACTATTTGGTGACAGGTAAGCTCAAATCTTTAAGCGTATTAATGCGTATATGAATGGAACAAAGCCAATCTTTATCAGAGGGCTACAAGGATGCCGCCGAGAAGTTCGAAACAGAGGCCGATCTGGAGCCGGGCGTCAAGTTCGAAAACCTGGAAGATCGCCTGCGTATAAGGCGCGCCGTTACTGAGGGGCGCGTCCAGCATGCCATGGAATTGGCCAAAAAGCTGTATCCGCGCATATTCGAGAGCGACAATTATATGTACTTTCATATGCAGCAATTGCGCCTAATCGAATTAATTCGGGAACGTAAGCTGGAGCAGGCTCTATCTTTTGCCCAGAGTGGTAGCTCCGGCATGAACGACCTGAAACGTGAGAACGTTCACGAAATGGAACGCACTTTGGCGCTGTTGGCTTTCGAGAAGCCCGAGGAGAGTCCCTTCGGAGACTTGATGGGGCACAGCTATAGACAGCGGGTAGGCGATGTGGGTGGCGACTTTTTGATATTAAATAGTGACTGAGTGTTTTGCGGCTTGCAGATTGCCAGCGAAATGAATTCGGCCATACTTAAGTACGAGCAGGCCGAGGATGCAGAGCCAAAACTGATGTTCCTCATCAAGTTGATATTGTGGGCGCAGGGAAAGTTGGATAATCGTTGTATTGATTACCAAAAGTTCGACTTGGAGAGCGACGATTTTGAGGAGGAGTTCCGACGTATTTTGGAGTCCAATTAAATGTAAACTAATACCTATGTATAGTATATGTATGTAGCTGCTCAAAAGTTGTTTAACATATACATATGTACATGTCTATATTTGTTGATGTCTATTATATACATATGTATGAATGTTTTTGTGTGTTTTAAATAAATTTTAAATGCTATTAATGCAAGAGTGCAATTCTGTATTATAGATACGAGTAGATGCTAAAATAAGTAGTTACTAGGTATGTATATATTTTACTTTTTATTTTATCCATTGTATGGTCAAAACGTGTTTGAGCACTTCGCCTCAAATTAGCATTGGGGCTGTAGAAAATACAAACTCTAAAACGCAAATTGTTTAGTCACGTGCGCGCATTAACGCTAAATGATAAGGGCATACTTCCATACAAACATCGAACAAAGAAATGGCGTTTCACAAGTAATTGTTTTGTTTGAAGAGAATGGTTAAATATAGAAAAAAAACTGATTGGCTGCCCAGCTGATAAGCAATTATGTGTTGATAAACGTCACAGATAACAAAAATTATTGGCAACAATGTAAAAAAGGGCAAACATTATGTGCAAGTTGTGTTTATCAACTTTGCGTTGCACTACAGCTGAATCAACAATAACAACTCCCCGTGTAATTGTCGTAACTATGTATGTATGTTTAGCATGTATGTACTTACATACATACTCGTATATGTACAAGTGCAGTTTAAGAAACGTGTTTTTCGTGCCAACTTTTGTTCTCTTTGTTTTAACAGTTTAGAGAACTTTATTGTTGCCAAGTGTTTGCATTAGAAATTTCCACACACACACACACACACATACAAAGACGAGCACATGTACACACATATGTATGTATGTAAATGCTGCAGCCGGCTAATAAAACTTTAAATAGCCGATAACAGAAAAAGGTTTGCATAGCAACCAGACATGTTGAAGGGCGCCAGTACCTGTAACCAGTGTGGGAAAGTAGGAATTGGCTGGGGTGTAAGCAAATTTGTCAACAAGCGTGCGTGTCAAATGGCTAATGCAAAGCAAATGCGGTCGGCTACAACATTAATTACACTGTGCTAGAAACAAAGGCAATAAGAGGGTAAGCACAGAAATACACACAAATGTACGTGTACATAAAAGCGCATTATGGAAGGGCAATGACAAGCTAAATGAGTGAAAGTTGCTTTCAAAGACGACGCACAATGCTTATCGATTTGCAGTCAATTACCAGAGGAGATGTTTTCTGTTTTGCCAAGTACAAAGTTCGTTTCCCCATTTTATAATAAAAATGTTTGGGGTTTTTACTTGCTATTTTGCACGGGAAAATGGCAAAGGGCAAGACAAATTCAAGACACATTGTGCACTGCGCTTAGAAGCGACGGCCATTTTGAATTCGGCTAGTGGTGTTTTTGGGCGCGGTCTACTAGACGGATAAAGACTCCAACCATTGGAAAGTTTCAAAGGAGTTGGTCATACACAAATACAATAGAAGGGTATATACGCATTATGAATGTATTGGTCTACGTCGCACACAAGTATGCTTCGATTTGCCGGAACACGTGCACGTGCGCCTAAATGTATGTCACAACTTCACACCCACTAGCACACATACATATGTATACAATGTAGGCGGCAGACTTACCGCTGTGCCTTCCTCATACGCCACCGCCTCGAATGATTTTTTTTCGAAAATTACTAATAGATCGTGTAAATCCTGCTGCGTCACATTGACCATTTCGTTTAATGTTTGGCTGCTCATTTTTTCCGCGCTGCATTTACCGTACGTTTTGCTTAGCCCGATTGGTTAGTATATACGATTTCTAAATAATATTAAAACAAAAATGCTTCAGCACATTCGCTATCTGCATAAACAGCACAAAGGCAAAACGAGCGAGCGTCTGTAAAAACAAATGTGATTTCGTTTAGACGATTTTCGCTGCCTTTTGTTGTTATTGACTGGCTTTTGGTATTCGCGTTTAGCCGCACACTGCTCTTTTTCTGTTTCTTTGATTTGCTTTATCGTTGTTCGTTTGCGTTTCGTTTTCAAGTTTGTTTTGTCAACGCCTACATCTACATAGGCGACGTCACTAGCGTGACCGCGACGTCAGCAAAATTAAAATTCACAATAAACACAATATATGCGCGTATTTTCTGGCATTTGTAAAATGCGAACAGTTCGGTTAAATAACTACGACGCTTTTATCAATTACGACGTAGTGTAAATTAAACAAACGACAATGCGAGATGCGTGCGTGACGAACATCCGAGTGTGCCGAAGTACCGCGACAATAAGCAAAGACAGACTGTGGAGTGGGCAAAATATCGATGGTCCGATGCATAGAATCGATTGCTTTAGTTGGCTGCTATCGATGGGCTTATTCGATACACCGATAAATCAAAGCAAGGTCAGATCCCATTTTCCTGTTCGAACTAGAAATGTTCTCATTGGATGCATTGGCAAATTTTTATGTACGAGATTATTTAAAATCTCGCAAAACCTAATTTTAAACACACATCAAAAGCCTTTGTTCTTTGTGCAAACAAAATCTTAACAGTAGTAATCTTAATATCAGAAATCTAGCATTTCAATCAATGACACAAAATTGGTATCAGAAATTGTATAAGTTGCAGTAATTTCGCTACTTGGTTCTTTTAATCTCATCAAGGGCCTTTTTATAATCAAGCATATGACCGTCTAAATTTTGTACAACCGTCTTGGTTTGTACAACATAGTTCCAGTTCGCATTGAATCAAAATTCGATATCACTTATCTTCTTATTCTTTAGCTGTCATAGATGATATAGAATATGAGTCTTTAAAGCATGCGATTCTCTATTAAGTTTGGGTTTCATTTAAAAAAATCTTCATTAAAGAGCTATGTTAATCATCTACAGTGAATTTCACATGTATTTTAGGTTTGTATATGAACAATGTATGTAAATATAAGTTTATTGAACAATACGCCATTCATTTGGAGCTGACGAAATTAACATTTTATGGCTACTCGAATCATTAAGTGTTAACAAATTCCTAATCTAATCAGACTTAAAGGACTTTGTTGTGGATGTAAATTGAGTTTGTGGAGCTGTTGCTGCCGCATTGCACTCGCGTTCTCGACGAGATCGTTCCTTAAGTTGTGCAATTTTTAACGATGACATAAGTTGAGTTGAATTGTACAGCCATGCACCCTATGAAAAATGATAATAATGCTTTTTTACACACGTCCACATGAATATGAATGAATAAAAATACTCACAATCAGCAGCATGCAGTTGAGCAGCAGAGGAATGCTGAACACTGTAGAGATAAACAAGCCGTTGCTATCAAAATATTGTTGTTTGGTAAAAGCGCTCCAATTATGCGCGGCATATTCGTTAATATTTTCCGAAAAGTAAACTGCACACACTGATAATCAGAGTAAAATATATATCAATAGTAACAATGCATTCAATTATTACAGCGGTACTTACATAGAACAAAAAATAAAAATATCTGGAAGTTTGTGTTGTTTCGTGTCAGTAGCGCCGTTACTGTTGTCAGCAGGTGCATCAGAATGAGAGCAATCAAAAATGGATCCCTCCACTCAATGCTCATGAGGAACGTCCAGTATCCAGTAATTTCGTTAACTTCGATTTGACCCGGATGCATTTTTCTCCTATTTATTTAACAAAAACAAGTCAAAACAATAAAGATGCTTGTTCTTCTTTTTTGTCATTCAAAACCCGCATGCGAATACTAAGTACCCAACACATCCAAACAACTTACAATGTTGCCACATCGTTTCCACACACAGTTCCAATTAATTCAATTTAGAACACATTTATGTTTATTTTGTATTTATTTCACGTATTTAAAAGATCGGTTATCATATTTCAATGTTAATAATATAATAATAATTTTAAGTCTCAAACGTTGAAAGCAAACATTTGATTTAAAAAAAATTCACTTATGAAATTTACGAACATATTTACAAATTTAAGTACAGCAATTTTGGTACGTCTGTTTGAACAGATTAGTATAGTAGCTAAGGAATTGTTTAAAAAATGTGTTCAGATTGCAATTGCGTTGAATTATATCTTTAGCAGAACTGTGCAAGTTAGCTTAAATTAGATGATTAATCACGATATTTTGAAATGATCTGAGTCTGGCATCGCCATTTTTCCTTATAAGTGGCAGCGCTGACAAGTAGTCATAAAAATCAGACTGAACGTTTGTATCTGCTTTGACAATTTCACAAGCAACGAACGAAGGAAAATAGAGAAGAAATCGCAGTAGACAAAACATTCATACATAGTAATATCAAATCATTGCACAGCATTCAAAATTGTAGTTTATTAACAATATACAAGTGAGCAAGATTTTCCTATCGCTCGGCTAACAGTGTGAAAAGCAACGCGCAACAGAATTGGCAAGTAACAGAGAAAAGAAAAAACGGACCGACGGACGGCAGCTAAAAACAAAGCGAGCGTCGTCTCCGCCTCTCCTACAACATCAGAAATAAAAGCGAGACGTCCCCAATCCCCAATTTGGTTTGGGAGAAATCCAAGTGGATTTAATGCATGCCTGCTTCTGTGCTTCTGTTGGAATGTTTCGTGTGATGCCTCTTTAAAATCTATACGTGCGGGTAACCCGCTATTTAAAGGTCACACAGTAACAACGACACGTAACGGCTCAAGGTTCAAGGACGCGGTAGTGTCGCGTTTAAAGAGTCGAAGGCCTCAAGGCGGCCGGAAACCCCGCGCAAAACCAAAAATCAAGTGCGGGCGCTGCGCGAACCGCCGTATAAGTCGCAGCAGGTACACATATTTTAAAGCAAACCCTTACACAGCTCTTCAAACAGTGAAAGCAGAGGCCATCGCTATGGCTGTTAAGCAAAACAACGCGGAGGCAAACGATGCTCAAGCCACAGGGAGCAGCAATGCTGGTCAAGGATCAGGTAGCCAACCTAACGTTAAGCCATCAATCAACACCTCGAATGTCTCGGATGAAGGCGGTGGTGGGCAGGAGCAAGCAGACGCAGCAGGCCTTGGCAACAATTCGGAGGCGGGTGGTGACCAAGTCGATAGCCAGATGACAAGCGCGACAGCGAATGGGGGGATTAAGCATGACATACAGGATCTGCTGGGCATCATCCAGACCATTGAGCAGCATGATCAGCCTCAATCGTTTGGCTCTCCGGGAATGTTACGGGTCTATGAACACGTTATCTGCAGCCTGTCGCGTACTGAGGTGCGCAATACGGCCGAAGACCTCAAGCGCTTTAAGGAGGACATTGCCAAAGTAGGCGCTTTTCTGGCGAAGCCAAATGAGAAGCGTTATCTTATTTTTTACCTACGCATTGTCTATGAATTGATTACGCAAGCATCCTTTGAGCCGCCCACTTGTGCCGTGGCAATTGTGTTTCAACTGTTCAATCCAAACTCCATCATCGAGGCTGTGCAATCGCTGCTTGAGCAGAACGTGCTGGACTCTAGCATCCGCAAGACGGTCAACTTGTTGTGCGAGTGGGTACGCGTCTGCAATTTCTGCCAAAATCTGAATCTTTGGGTCATGGCGCTGCTGACCGGACTGCGGGAACAAGAGAAGTACCTCCTGCTAGACAATATAGCGCTGGATAACATCGAGAAGCTCTTCATGCTAATGATATTGCCCGCGTTACGTCCGAAGGTGGCGCCTATTGTATTCCACATGCTGTCGACAATCTATCAAACGCCTGAGATATTCCACAAGGTGAGTGAGCGATCATTCCGTGTTTAGGCTCCAAAATTCATTTTGAATTCCTGCCTCAGATATTGCCAAAGATACCCGGCGTTATACGCTACTTAAAGCAGCAGTCCAACAGCATGGACGAATTTGGCAATGAGTCACGCGCCTATATGCAGAAGTTGGTCGATCTGACAAATGCGCTCATGTTACGCTTCAACGACAACGACGATCTTTACGCACCAGTCAAGGCGGCTCTGCACATGTACGAGCCATCCTATAACTATGTGGCGCTTGCCCGCGCCATGCACGAGAATGCCCTGCCAGTGGGCCGACGCAATGCCCGAGTGGGCCTTGTGAACCTTGGCAATACGTGCTACATGAACAGCGTTCTTCAGGTTCTGGCCATGACCAACGAGTAAGTACAACACACTGACTGGGTTGTTTGCGTGATAAATGGGGGATATATAATTTGTTTTATCGAGCAGATCTTTTCATTAATTTTCTTAACACAATATACACAGTCTCTCTCTAATGTCCTTTTTCGCTGCAGTGTCTATTATATATTGTATATATTACACATTTTAACAAATGCTAATACAATGGAGACATTTGGCGACAACACTTGAAAAATGTGATAAGAATATTTGTATTTGTGTTATACTTACTGATAGCTATACAAGACGCACTATTTTTGTGTTTGTAAAACAAATGCATCTGTTTTTGACGGCAAATTACGTAAGCGATTTTTGCTCCACAACATAAAATGTTTAAGTAAATTTACAGAATGGTTGCTGTATATGTTATATTTTCCTAAAAAAAAACACATACGACCAAATGATATTTCTGAATGAGACCAATTACCATCTTTTATCGTTTTACGAGTGATCTCGTATTTTTTCTCCATAAATACATACAAGTACTTTGGAAAAAAACATGTAAGCGGCAATGATTTATGAATACTTTAATATCCCTAATACTTTGGGGATTTTGGAAGCTTCTTTATTAGAATATTAGGGTTATGGTGAAACAGATTATATTTAAGGAACCATTATTTTGAAAAACCATGTTCTGCATTTGAAGGACTTTATTTTAAGCGAGCATCTGCAAATATCTTTTTTAGCTTCAGCCGTCAAATTCTTCTCATCGAGAGCACCTCACCGCTGTTGCTTAAAGTACAGCAACAAATTGCGCTGATGCACCACTCGATGCGATACGAGCTGACACCATCGCGCGTCCTTAGTGCAACACGTCCGCCTGGCTTCACGCCGGGCCTGCAGCAGGACAGTTCTGAGTTCCTAGGCTACCTTCTGGATCTATTGCATGAGCACGAGATTAACAATCAGCACCACAAGCGCAATGGTGCCGCCCAGCAATTGGAGAGTGGGGATGCGTCCCAGGCGGAGCCAGTGACGCAGACAGGCCCCATTTTGGATGATGAGATTGCTGCATCTGGTGTCATACCGTACAATAGCATGGATAGTGAGATCAGTGCTGCTCACAGCAACAAAAACAGCGGAAACTCTAACAATACCAACAACAGCTCCTCAGCCACCACCACGTGCAGCGGCAGTAGTGTAGTTGGCGGGGGTAGCAAGGTGAACAACGCACTTACACCCACCAAAGGTACAACAAATCACAACGATAAAGAGCTGGTGCCTAAGAAACCGCCGTCGACAATTGATAAAACGTTCACAGGAAAACTAGCCACCACCTACAGATGTTTAAAGTGCTCCTGGAAGAGTTGCAACGAAGACAGCTTTCGTGAGCTGCAGCTGTCCTTTCCGGACGACAAGGAAGACTGCGGAGCAACCAACTACTCGGTACAGGATCTAATCGAGTACTACTGCTCACCAGAGAAGATGGATGGGGAAAATAAATATTACTGTCCGCGCTGCCAGAGCCTTTGCGATGCCGAGCGACGCATAGGGGTAACCCAAGCACCTCGCAATCTTATTTTAACGCTCAAGCAATTTAAGTACGATCAGAAATATCATTTTCGTACTAAGCTTATGCACAAGGTATTCCACGACGAAAGTGTAAGTGAGACCTACTCAGATCTTCCCACAGAATTTATGCTAATAAGCTCTATTATCTCAGGTGACCGTCAAAGTGTGTGCCAATGATACACTCCAGGAGCTATCCACCGTGCACTATGATCTGTATGCGGGTGTTGTGCACTCGGGCTTTAGCATGGACTCTGGTCACTATTTCACCTTCGCTGCTGATCAATCAAAGAACTGGTACAAGTTCAACGACAGTTTGGTGACCATATCCCAGCCTGAAGAGATGCACAACCTGACGTCGCCGAACACGCCGTATATTCTTTTTTACCAGATGTGTGGGCGCTCGAATGAGATGTCCACGACAGGCTCGGCCCACACAATGGTAACGGTACAAATGCCGCAGCCGCTTACACTGGAGGAGTTGCCGCGAACGTTACGAGACTTTGTGCAGCAGGACAATCGTGTGTACACTGAGGAACTGAAGCTACAACGTTTTAAGCACAATACAAAGCGCGGAAATGAGCGCAACGGTTATGACGAAGATCACTCACCGCCCCCTTCAGGTGGTTGTGGTGGCAATGGGTTAGGCATTAATGTGAACCGGTTTGTTTATTGAGTGCTGCATGGGACTAAGGAGCGACAGAGCATACGATGCAGGCCAGGAGTTTTGGAGGCGGGGATGCAGTCATGTTCCAACGAAACACCACGTAAATCAAATGACTAGAACGGAAGAAAATCTCAGCTAAATCCACAACTATATGTATAAATGTATATACATATATATTTAATATATAGATGTGTGATTTACATACATATATATATGCGTGGATATATGTATAAAAGAAAACCAGACGCATATATTTGTTAAGTATATGCAATCATATTTAATATTCGAATCAATCCAAGATATATATGTATATATCTTTATATATATATATATTATTAATATTGCTACATAAAAATTGTTAGTCAGATGTATCTGTGTAAATGTGTTGCTAAAAACTAAAATATTTCCGTAAGATTTGAGTGCACCATGTTCCTTGGGAGTTGAGGTCCGCTTATTAATTTGTATCACTCCATGCGCTATTGTTGTCATGTTCCTTAAACACCCACATAAACTACAATTGTATATCATTCTAAAACCTTGTTATGATTTTAAAAGCATTGTTTTTGTTAACACAAATTTATCTACATATACCATACATATATATACATATAGAGTTATATTAAACATATAAACTAATGTAGATCATACTCTGTAACTACTACTAACCATTCAACTTCCAAATCTGGCCTCCAAGTGCTGTAACAACACCTACCACTGAACCTAATGTATTTACTTTAGTCATTTTGGCATTAGAAAATAACTACGCACAACTCGAATTTTAGTGGACGAGTTGCAATTGTGTTTGTAAATTCAAATTAAATCCAATGGGAGAACAGACGAAAAATACCTTGTTGGAAACAAAATTAATGTTTGTATAAAAATAGTTAGTGAATGCTCCCTTTTCGAAGGTACATGTTTTTTTATTATTATTTTTTGTGTGTGAATTTATAAAATTTACTAAACTCACGAATTTTTAATGAACTGGAGAAATTACCGCAAGAGTTTAAAACATGGCATGTCGAGGAAGAGATTTGAATATTATTGCAATTAAATTGGAATAATTTCAATTACATTTGTATATGGTGTAACTTATTGATATTTATCTATGTATTTTTAAGTGTATCAATAAAGTATAAAACTAAAAGAGATTTTTTATCATTGTGAAAACCATTTGTGCAAAAATATGTAACGGAAATATACATCACATTAATTGTCTTGAAATTGCTCAGCTCATCGTATAATGATGATGTCGTTGGCGCGGTTCTTGGATATATTTCTCCAGCTGAAAACCACCAACTTGCATTTTCAAAACTACACACATAGGTAAGTAAAAAAACTTAAACTTCTGCCTTATTTTTATAAATTTTAACAACTTTCCAATTGAGGAAAATCACGTACACTTTCAGCAAGGTGTGTACACACTTTTTTCATGAATTTGTTCAACACTGTCATATCGGCGCCATTCTAATTGGCGCGGCTTTGGGGTCTATTTCTCCAGCTAAATCACACACACACACATAAACAAATTACATACATATGCTGCGCCGCCTATAAAAATGAGCAATTCGTTTGTGCTCTCGAACAGTGGAGAATAAGTTGTCGAATTGTAAAAAGAATAAAATTTCGCCGCTTAGTTAACTATACATTGTCAAAGAAGCCGCGCGTCAATCGCTCGCGCTCCTCACGAGTTGGCTGTGAAGCAAAATAAGAACATATAGTACATATAAAGTAAATAAAGGGAAACTAAAGCATAGCGCACAAAAATCTGCAATACAAAGAGTTTAATTAAGTCAGCGGTTTAATGTTTATGGCGCATCTGCAAAAACAACAACAAACACGCCCAAAGAAGGCTGACGAGGAATTGTATATTAACAACAACATAAAGAGCAAGAGCTAACATTTTCGGGAATTATTGCTGTTGATTAAAATATTTTGCTACTTTTTTTGCGTTTACTGTACCACTAAAATAACAACACTATACTACAATTGATTTATTATTGTGGTTGCTGCTGTCTACGTGCGAACAAAAACATATTTGGGATCAAAATACTTTGCCAGCTGGAATCTGACGCAAGCAAAGCAAAAAGAAAGAGCATAAGAAAGTGAAAAAGAGGTTAACGCTCGCATTAAAGGACAAAACGTATGCCTATCTTTAGCCTTTGAAGGTGAGCTAAGGACATTTGGCCCATCACAATTGGACTGCAAAGTATTTCCAAGAGGCAAAGAAAGTTGTTGTAAAATATCAAAATGCGTATTTCAACTTTTCTGTGTTCATCACAAAAATTCACAAGACTTACTCAGATGCTTGACTTCTACGCGGGCTTCAATCCATCGCCGCTTTCAATAAAACAGTTTATGGATTTTGGTGAGTTTAACATTTCCGAGTTAATTAGTCATAATTGATATTAATGGATCGTACTCACTTTACAACACTGCTTATATGTGCCAATGTCCTTGCAAGTGCCGGTATATGCCTCACTTCCTCCCGCTTCCACACCCAACAAACACACAGACGCGTTCTCTCCCTCTCGCGAACTCTTGCTCTGCGTTTATTCACCTTGCCTCTTTCCTTGTTTATTAATGCGTACTTTCATATGTATGTTTAATTGGCTTGCAAATGTATTGTATGTGTTTTGAAAAGCTAGAATGCCTCTTGTTTTATTGCCAATATCGGTTACTGTGGAAAATACAGTCAGCTCTAAACCTGTAAAGAGCGATGTATATTATTGCAAGCTCGACGATCGTTAGAGCTTTGATTTTGTCTTCCATACATATGTATGTATAGTATATGGATGTCAAGTACATATAGTATGTACTTACATACATATGTATGTGTGGAAACGTTTATCGTCCGCCATTTAACACATATTGCGCAATTTCAAGTAGAATCCAAATCGGTTGGCATTGTGAATAGAGCCGTGCATTGTCAATGCAAATATGTACAATGCATGCATATGGATTGTAGGTATGTACAATGCATGCATATGGATTGTAGGTATGTACATACATATGTATACATATGGGTATTCTATATTCTAAGCTTTTGAACAACATTAATTATTTGTTTTTCTATATGTATGCATATCGATTATTGTCTACACTATACTCCACTTAATTTATAAACCATTTATTATGCATGACAGGAAGATGGTAATCTAACCACACTTTGTTTCCATAGTATATTTGGAACTTATATCTAAACTGCGCACATTCCCATTGTCTAACTGAACGTTTTTTAAAAATGTTAATTAGGCATTTATTGTCGACACTGAGCCGGCGGACACCGCCAACTGTTGACTATAGACAAACATATTCAGTTACATAACATTAGGTCAGCATTTTATCCCATCTGGTTGCTGCTTAGATTCTGTGCTGTAAACAGAAATAAGAACAGGAGCTACTCAACCATTTATGGGCTTGAAGATGTATTCACAAATATGCCATAAGAAAATACAACAACAATTACCTGCAGTAACCCTGCCAGACCGACAGCTGTGAGAGCACGTGCCACCCAAGGACATTTCAATGTCAGTTACACCCACCAAGCCAGCAGCTTGTCAGCAGTACATACCCATACATACATACATACCTTAGTAAGCGAACCAAGTGTGTTCCAAAATAAAAGTAATACATACAGGAACAGTGCATACTCACACATGCATACATACACCTACACACACGTACGAGCCCATTTAAGCTTCTCCCATAGCATCCATCTGCCTATCAGGCTTTGTTGAGCCTGCCTCTGCATCTTACTTGCTGTGCGCTTTTCCGCAACAATTGTGGGAAACAGACACAAATAGCAACAGTCGTGAAGACATACATACATATGTACATACATACATACATACATAGAGAACCCACCAAACTTGGCGCCCTACTTTATGTCGATTTGAGTCGATGGCGGCCGGCTTCGGTCTGTGTTTTTCTCAAAAACAGCTCCCGTTGTTGTTATTTTGTTCACCTATGTTCACCAATGTATGTTTGTATAATGTAGAAGGAAAACATAATAGCCTTCCTTCCATACATGATTATATATACCTATCAAGAGACTAAGACATTCGGATGCCCTGCAATAAAATAACATGGTCGCTCACCTTCTTTTTAATGTCGGCATCTGATAGATTAACTATTAATACGGTGCGTCAGTCTCAGAAACTAGTTACATATGTATGTATGTACATGTAGTATATCCATTCATATGTATGTATAAAAAATCGCGTATTTTAATATTTGAACCAAGCTATAAATATTCTTACCATTGCTTTGATTTCAATACCAATTAATTTAATATGGAAATATTTTTTTCGCGCGGTAAGACATTCAAATTCTTTGCAGTGTGTACGATATTGACGATTAATACATACATAAATATAAAAAATTTCTATTGTTTTTTAAGAAATGGGAGAAACTCTTTATTATGCTTTCAAGATTTTTTGAACGTCTTATCAAAATAAAATTAATATTTAATTAGTGTACCTTTAAAGAATTTTAGCGACAGCTTTTGTTAAATATTCCCAGAAATATCGATTCTAAAGATTATAATTTAAATGAAACAGAATAAAATTTGTGAACAACAAAAATATTAGAGGCCGAGAATTGTTGTTGTTATAACACAATCTTAGAACGTTTCAAGATATCTAGGCGCTTGTTCTTGGGAACATTATACTTACCACGGCAATTAATTTGTTTTCTTTTAATTAAATTTTTTATAAAAAAAACTTGTAATTTAAAAAGTTTTTATATTTTATTGAAATTACTAAAACGTTCGCCGCCAACCGGCTATAGGAGCAATAATACAGTAGAAATAGTATGTATGTATGTATTTATCTATCTATACATAAATATATACATACATTTATGCTAGTATCTGTGTTTTAATTAAAGCATTCCTATTATTTAAGCGAGACTACAATTATTAATTTTCCCACAGTGTGTTACACACATATACATACTATACATACATATGTATGTACCATGAAAAAAACGTGGTGTAGCTGTATTTTCATAAGTACTTGAACCTTGATTGTTGGCCTGATAACGGTTGTTTTTGTTTTGACGTTTTGCCAGCGACTGTACCAAATTGTTTTTTGCCTTTATATCACCAATTGAACGTGAACCGCACGTAATCCATTTCCACATTAAAATTACAGACACGATAAATTATTTCTATAGGTACGAGTATATAGCATGGACAATATTGCAATCGACGCCCAAAATTATTGATTGTTTTCCCAAATAAATGTGTTAACACATCACTTCACAAAGTCGGCATAATTTTGGGAAAAATACTAATACTCGGTCATATTGTCAAATAGACGTCATAGATAAGGTGCTAAAATGGCTCGTGGATTTATAGTATTTGTAACTACATACATACATATGTACATATGTATATAGTATACCATACTTATATCGCGATTTTAGCAACACGTGAATAAATTGCATCCGAGCTAGAAATCGTATTCTGACTGTTGATTATCGAATCTACATATGTAGTAGTTGTCCCAATTCTAAAAAACCGTAGTGCTACAGCTATGTACGTATGTATGAACATGGCGTATGCGCAATTGGAGCTAACGAAGCTTATATTAATCATACGCATGGTTGTTATCAGACATTTTGCTTACTACAGTCTTTAAATTTTAAACCGCACCAGCCCACTTTTTATATCACCTATAATATATGCTCGATCTAACATAGAATAATATATGTATGTATGTATATTAGATCTCGAGATCCACTTATTGACAAATATATGCGCACATTCGTGTATATTCATTATACACATATACATATGTACATGAATATGTCATGTATGTATGTATGTATATTTATATGTGTTCTTCATCAAAATCATGTGCTATTTTCTTGTGTGGGCAGATTTTGCGTGCCAAAGTATAAGCAAGAAAGTCGCTGGCAAAAAATGGAAAATCACAAATATAATAGATAGGTATATTCATATGTATGTACAAATATAGTATGTACATACATACATACATACATACATATGTATGTATGTCTATAGCGTGTGTTAATTGTTGTTGGCAAACAATGATTAAATTCGAGTATTCGCCAAAGTCCATCAGATGACATGAGATGAGCGTACCGTCCTGGTCCCATATTCATTTACTTATTTTTTATTATTATTTTTTGTGTTTGCCGTGCGTTTTTGAACTTTGGAACTGAAACTAGAAGCGTTGGCACTGGCTAAGAGAGCAAATACAGCTAACAACGTAGACGTCAAAAGCATAGCCGAAAACTTAACAGAGCCAAAGATGTCGCGACGTCAGCAGCAACGCGGCAAAGGCAAAACATTTTTTTCTTCTGCTCTTTTCTCGTTTTTTTTCGCACGCGTTGAAACGTCAGCAACGCCCCCGTCCCGTGATGCAAATGACAATAACACATCCACGTACTAGATCGGACAAAGGCAAATATGAGTCAAATATATTTAAAGCCCAATCCAGCCCATTGACTATATTGTGAGCGCACAGAGGGTGAAGGGAAAGCTGATGCAATGACCGAGTAAATTTCCCTCAAATGCAACAGCTGTTTGCACTTTGCGCCTCTCTGCTTCTCGGCAACATCAGCTGTGTTCGCTCCCAATGTAATTACTCTGTGCATACGTAAATGCATTTCTGTGTGTGTGTGTGTGCGTGTGTGTATACGTTTGCATGTGTACTACTTATTTGGAAACAGGGTCGTAGACAAGTCGGACCGCAATAGCAGCGCTTGAACATGCAGAAGAGTAACGTCGGGTGTTCCTGTTATGCAAAAGTTCAGCCTGTCTCGCAGAGCAATGTTCGATTATACATACATACATTCATATGTATGTATACGTGTAATCAGCAAAATAAACAGAAAACGTGCTGTTTACAGGCTGATAAGATTTAATACTGACTGTCGTTTAAGAAAATGAATTTAACAGAATTAAAAAATTACAACAACATAGAATAAACTAGCACGTAACATTTGTCACTCGCGGGAGCAACAATTAGACTTCTAGCTACAGCATTATTACGGCTGATCTAAAAAAAGTAAAACATTAAGTGTACCCAAAAGTTAATAATAAATTTGGGATTCTAGTTATCCTCTCTTACCCCGGGAGTGTGAAAACTTCTCCCTAAACTAAATCCTATGAAATACAAGTATTTACGGATATGCCACACTATGAGAATCGAATACCTGTAATCTTTGATTATACAATATCTTGTACTGGATACCCAGTCTTTGAGCTTAATTAATTTAAGGGATATATTGACTCTGTTTGGAAAATGAAACACCAATAAATTATAGAAAATCATTTTAATTTACAATTCTGATGACATTCAAATACTCACACATGTGGTTTGTAAGTTAATTGCTTAAATTCCCCCGCTATCTTCGATTCTGACTGTCCATGTAGTTCACAATAGTATGTAAATTTAAATATACATATATACCTATGTGTGTATCTATGTACTTATGTCCTTGGCCGTGCATAAAGCATTTGGGTGCGAGTGGCAGTTGCTTGTGGTCGGTGTGGAAGGGTGTGCGGGAGAGGGTCACTGATGGGTGATAAAATGGCTTGTTTAGTGCGTGCCTCCTCAATTGCGTGTCTGGCAATGTCACTTTGTAATCGTTCTGGGTAATTTGAGTTGCAAATTTAATATCAATTGTGCTTCTTTTTTTTTGTAATTCCAATGCAATGTGCGAATTGATGGATAAATAGGTACTAAACTGTTGATTGAATTGGTGTCTAGGCATTTAATGGGCCCGATATTGTAACGAATTGCTATGAAGTAGCGAGAATTTTTCGCATGGTATCTGAAGAAAGCAAAGCAAAAGAATTTAAAAACAAGCCCCTCTATCGGGGCTATTCACAAACATACATATCTACATACACACATACATAAATACATATGTATGCATGTATGTGTATGACAATAATATTTCTGTGCTATAACATGCCGGGCCTCTCTTTGCCGCCTGGCCTTATCGCTTTTCTATAGAATTTGACAGACACGGGCGACAACTTTTTTTTTAAATTTTATTCTTAAATCTTTCTATACTATCTGCAACCATAAATGTATGTATGTGTGTGTTCATTTATATAGTGCGCAGCTTAAAGAAGAAGAAATCGAAAGTGAAAAACGTTACGCACATCGGAAGCTTATCACGGTTCGAATGCAATGCATCAAAATATTTAATGCCAGACGGCCAATGTTTATAATTATTATTGTCTTGGACCTTATCACAATAAGAAAAGAACTCGTGAGTTTTGTATGTTTGGCAACTTTTTAGCGCAACAAATCAGCGTATTCCAGAACAAAAAAATGCAAAGCTCATCATAAGTTGAAAGAAGAATTAGGCATGAGGGGAGAACGAGTGGGGCGCGAGAACGGCGCGTGTGAGCGATCCTCTCTCGCTCTCCGTCTCTTTCCCGCTTGCCTTGTCTCTCGCGAGCAGTTTCTAGTATATTCTTCCGTATGAAATTTGTAGACGTCGCTCGTCAACGGTCGGACGATTCAATTGATTATTCAGCTTGCTAACCTGTTTTAGTTTATTTTGAAAGTCTTTGATTATGTTTGTTTTTGTTAACTTGTTTTTCATATTCTGTTTTGTTTTTGCCATTCGTTACAATGGAACCCGTTGGCACATAAACAACATGGCGCAGTTTCTAAAACAACAGCAAAAAAAAAAAGAATAACAAACCCATAAAAAGCTTGCAAAGCTTTTATGACCACATGCCGAGCAATATATTGTCCCAATTGAATCGTTTCTGCTTCTACATCCAAACATTCATCTAGAATTACGGTTTATTACGTCAATTTGCCTCCCATTGTAAACGCCAGCCTAGTGGTCGGCTCATTGATTGGGGGACCTCATAATTGTTATCAAGTTGTATCATGAATATGGGCACGTATGTTTATATGTATGTATATATGTATGTACATACATATGGCATAGGTATTTTCGCATGGCATTAAGTAATTATAATCATCGGAATTGCAGACTGACGAATAAAGAATACAAGAAAGAAATAAGTGGGCGTGTCTGCTTACTTATTGGTTCAAGGCCAAACATTTGTACGAGTAGGTGTGCGTTTATTTGCCTCGGAGCGCACTCACTTGTATTAAGTCCCAAGTCTTATCAGTCGGCTAAAATCGCCTGTTTTTCTTGCTCTGTTTTTGAAAGAAAACAAATAACAAGACTATCAACCATGTTGGTGCTTTTATCGGCTTGGAACTGTGTACGAATGTGCCTTTGTGGAGGTCTTGAACTGGGCGTTTCGAAAGAATACATACATACATACATATGTATATTTGTTATTCTGCTAAAACTGATGTCCTTTGTTTTCATTTTGCTTTTCTAATCAATTTCATTACCAAATGCGTGTGTCTGTAAGCAAACTTTTAGCTTACCTACCTACATACATACATATGTACATATGCGCAAATGCAGAACGTGTGTAGAAACATACATACATACATACATATTTATGTACATATGTATATAGATATGTTATTAAGCTTTAGTGGATATTGTCCAGCACCTGATTAGTGATGGAAAACCCCCTGTTCAAGGGTGTACTACTTTACTTACTATGTATTATATTACTTAAAATGTGAATCTGCAATCCCAACAAATGACTTATTTGTACTTTCTCAGTATTGTAGGAGTATATGGGCAATTTGTAACGACCATTTTAAATCGTACGATGTTTCGTTAACTCTCTTGCTGTTGAATTGATAAGCCGTTGATTGCAGAAGTTGAAAAATTTCAAAATTCCAATCAGTTTGGAAAACACAGACAGTATTCATTGCTCAATGAATCACATAAGCAATATATTTATGTTTGTATGTACATATAGTTAGGCAACAGTCAAGAAACGCCATTGGGACCCATAAATAAAATAAATTATTTTGTATATTGTTATACAACCTGTGATGGGAATATTATTATAATGCCAAAAGTTAAACAAGAGTTGGGTTGGCAGCCATTTTAAAATTGTTTTTAGTAGATCTACTTATCAAGCGTACGGCTTTTCTTTATCTATTCATATACTTACTATTCAGGTCAAAATGCATGTGAGAAGAAATCTTTCATATTTCTGCGCAAGGAGCTGCCCGTGCGTTTGGCCAACATAATGAAAGAGATTGCCTTGTTGCCCGACAACTTGCTCCACACGCGCTCCGTGAGTGAGGTGAACAACTGGTATGTGAAGAGCTTCGAGGAGGTGCTGGAATACGAGAAGGCCGAACCCACGCATGACATTTTGCAAAAGTGAGTTGTTGGTAGACGTCTGCTGAAATTGTTTGAAAACATATTAACCGATATATTTTGAATATGTTGCGACAGATTTGTGCAGGATCTAGATCTCATACGAAATAGGCACAGTGATGTGGTGCAGACCATGGCGCAGGGTGTCATCGAGATGAAGGAGAACGAGGGCGGTCAAGTGGACGCCCCCATTGAGAGCTCCATTCAGTACTTTCTCGATCGGCTCTACATGTCACGTATTAGCATACGTATGCTAATTAATCAGCACAGTAAGTCGCAGTGATCGATTGATCGACTGGCTTGCTGATGACAACTCTAATTGGCAGCATTACTCTTCGGCTTGAATCCGCACTCGGGTGGACGCCACATTGGTTGCTTGGATCCTGCCTGCGATCTGTCGGATGTGGTGCGGGATGCCTACGAGAACGCCCGCTTTCTCTGTGATCAATACTATCTGACGAGTCCGACGCTTGAGATCCAGCAGTACAGCAGCATTGCGGACGACCTCTTTCCCATACGCACCGTCTACGTGCCGTCGCACTTGTACTATATGCTCTTCGAACTTTTCAAGAATTCAATGCGTGCGGTGGTGGAGCACAATCAGGATCACTGTGACTCACTGCCACCTCTGAAAGTCTCGATTTGCCGCGGGAAAGAGGATATCTGCGTTAAGGTAAGGGAGTAAGAAGCACTTAGTACTGAACATTTCCACCAGCTACCTTATACTTCCCACAGATTTCCGACCAGGGCGGCGGTATTCCACGCTCCCAGAGCGATCAGCTGTTCAAGTACATGTACAGTACGGCGCCGCAACCTTCAAAATCTGATCTGCACACGGTACCGCTGGCTGGCTATGGCTATGGTCTGCCCATCTCTAGGCTGTATGCACGCTATTTCCATGGCGATATTGTATTGCTATCCTGCGAGGGTTTTGGCACAGATGCCATCATCTACCTGAAGGTAAGTCCACACTAGAGTGTTGAAACTGATGTTTCAGCATAGAAATATGTACATATGTTACAAACTAGGTTTGAAGTGGATCGGTTGAAAAATGCAGATTTCACATACAAACTTTGGAGCCTATTTTCCCCCTTCGGAGCTCGAATTTTCCAAAATCCCTTCTTAGTGGGTCTATGAAAGAATACTTGAGTCAAAATTTCAGCTTCCTATCTGTTTAGCGTTTAGGCTGTGCGTTGATCCCCAATCAGTCAGGACAAACTGCTTTATATAGTATATAGATAGGTAAACATTTTGGTAATGAAATGGTTTTTCTCCATATATAAATCCTTTTCTGAATTGGTGTTATACGGAATAGCTTACAATTTTCTTCAAGACGCTCTTTTGGGTTCTATAGAACTTGTTTTCAATAGTAAAATTTCTATATAGATGTTCCTAATAATCTACTGAAAAGTGTATGTATAAGTATATTGTGCAAGTTTGCTATCCTTAAGGAAGAATGATAGATCAAATTTTATAGTATAGGGTACATATATGATCATTTAAAAACTCTTTTTATATGAATTTTGTTTAAAAACGATATTTGTATATTTTAAGAACATTATATTTAATATTGTAGTAATTAAAGAACTTTCACTACTACTATTACTTAATTATTGGCTATTACAGGACCTTAACTTACCTTACAATTACTAAATTATATTAAATATTATATTTTTAGGCACTGTCCGATGAAGCAAACGAACTGTTGCCCATTTTCAACAAGACGAGCTCAAAATTCTACCGCGCCACTGTACCTACGGGCGATTGGTCCAATCAGGTAAAATACATTAAGAAGAAGAGCGCTGTAGGTCAATAGTTGTGTGTCTGTAACGACAACGAATTTGCAGCCACGTTCCTCCTATGCACACCCACATCCGCAACTCCCTTAAATCCCAATGACTAACTGGAACCCATGAACGATGCACACCCATACAGAACACCACCCAAAGAACTATTAATTTAATCTTTAAATATGTATGCAAAGTTTCATGAGTTTAAACAATTTTGCTTAACACTTTTGTTCTAATTGATTTAAATATGTATTTTGTTCAAATCCTACACTTGGTTTTCAAATTCTTTAACTTCCCATTGTCTTGTGCACGCATTTTGTTGACGTTTAAGTTAAATGCCAGATTTACTCGTCAAAACTTCTTGTCATTTAGTGGTTGACATTCCAAAATTTTATATTTTCAATACTGAAACGCAAACGAAGTTGTGCTTTTGAAGTGTCCTTTAATGTTGATTGCCTTCCGTGGGCGTTGTTGTGAGTTTTTGTTTTATAAACGCTGGACGTGGACGAATTGTTTAGAAATTACAGCATATTTATTTAATAAACGAAATTTATATATACATACGTACATACATATTACTATAGAATGGTTAAATGTTTACGAAATTAATTATAATTGTGAATTCAATTCACCCATAATACATAATTCTGTACGAGTTCACTCATATTTAAATGCAAATTGAGACATTATTTGTTTAGTTAAGCACACACATATTTAAATTTATTTGTTAAGTTGAAAGTAAAATAAATTATAAATAAAATATTGAAATTATGTACACTACGAATTGGAATTTATGTTTTTCCTTGTGTTCCTGTTTCGTCTTTCGTTGTTCCTATTAAATGCATCGCCTGAAAGTATGCACCTAAATATTTCCAGGTTAACTTCCAAACTAAAGTGCCGTTACTAATTCTGCATTTCGTATTATTGGTTTAGCTATAGAATTTTTCCTGCTGTTTCTCGAAGCGCATGCCAAGCCATAAGTATCACAATCAGACGTTAATGTAATCGTAGTGTTGAAAATCAAGAGAGAAACCTCTCTGGCTCTGTTTGATGGCTAATGGTGAATACTATTTGGCAATAATCGAATTTTCTTTAAATGTTCTTCCCTACTTATTTGCTCTTAGACGAATAATCAATCTTTCTCTTAAACTAGATTGTAGTTTATATTATTTACAATTCTTTTTATTTCTTTCAGAATTTTGCAAATCGGTGGCGTTATTTATATAGTTTCCTTAAGAATTTATAAGACTGTACCAGCACACATACAACTTACCAGCAATATCTCTTGATTTGTTTCTGATTTTGTCGTATTGTTCTTGATTTCGTATGTCATGGTCTCCAATGGCATTTCAATACAAACCAACGTTTCCTGCCCGCACTCCCTATAATTCCGCATAAGTTAACAATTTTTGCATGATATTCTCTACACTTCTAGAGCTCCGACATGAATGCGCGTCAGCTGAATGCAACTACACCGAAGCGGTACAACGATTTAGGAACGGCCTAGGAATACGCCACTCAAATGTTACTCAGGACATACGCAATTTGTTTCAGGAACAACAGCAACAATATTTTTAATATTTACAAGAATGCCCTAAAATGATATCACTAGTTCTTAAGCAAACATTCCCCCATCCAATGCAGTGGGAATATATAAATAAGTATATAAATATATGCCGAAGTTAGATTTTGTTGGTCTGCAATTTGTAGCGAGACCGTCAGCTGTTAGAAAATATTGTAAGCATGTTCTACGTTAAAATGAGGCATGATTAATTGTTTAAGCGAAAGGTAACACAAACTATTTTATAAGCATTGTATTGTTGTACTCTGAATAATAAAACCTGAAAATATGGTGGCAGGTAAAATGTTACCAAAAAAAAAAAACAATGAAAACAGTTTTATAATGAGTTTTGTTTTTTAGGCACTACATTTTATTTTACACAATAATAATAATAATAATAATTTTCTATATGTAATAACATTATACAAAAATTGTTCATTTTGCTGCGCTATACAATAATTCATCGTGTGGTTTGTTTTTGTTTTTCAACATATTTTTATAAATACATAATATTCGTTTATAGTTACACATTTTATACAAAATTCTCACATTTAGTTTTTAGCGTTTTCACATTATCACGTAATTGACGTATGCATTTCTCTTTAAACTGTTTTTCGCGACATTGATTTAAACTAACAATTAACTATTGCAACAATTGAAACGTTTAAACAAAGTGCATTGTGTTGTTTACTTCTCAATAATAAGATTATGCAATAAAAAATCGACAAAAATCATAAATACAATATATAAACAATAATACGAATTGAATAATTATGAATTGCTCAAACAATTCTGTTGGCGAATTTTGAATAGCATTGCACTAAAGCGTTGGAATGTGCGCGAATCGGAGACAAGAGAGATTGGGACAAAATCTACGACTTGCATATGCATGCAAAATATTTATATGTATATAGTAACATAAATTTGCGCTTTATAGTTGTTATGCATATAAAATTGTTTTAATGGCTTTGTTAGCACCACCGATTTCACTTGCGCAATGGATCCAGGCTCTCCAGCGAGAAGTCATCGATGTTCAATTTGCTCTGAAATACAAAATGAAATTTTTTTATAAACATTTGAAATGTATGTTTGTTGCTGTAGACTTAATCAACTTTACGCGCGTATTATTTTATTTATAAAAATAAAACTTAACCGATAACAGATTTAAGGCATAAAAGGCTATGGTTGATTTCGAACCAACGCAACGCGTTTACGAATAGGATATTTCTTTCGTCCTGAGAACATACCTTTGACGGTATCTGGAATTATTGTTTAGCCTTTCTGACATACACCCCATTGGACTTATTAAGAAACTATGTAGAACATTCATTTCAATTTGTTATGTTACAAAGAGGTATGGATTTCTTCAACTTCCCCATCATTTAAGGCTTCTAATCCCATTTCAGTTCGGCAGAAACAGACAAGAATGCAATGTTCGGGTAGACCGGGCCCAACTCTTAAATACACTGTACTACATCCCACAAAACTTGTCCTGCTTATGCAAAACGGTTATGGCTATATCGACTCGTCAAAATGATCAAAAATATACTTATTACCACTAACCATTTTATCGCTGAGTGAAAGTTATTGGAACACATATCAGAAAAATTTAAGTTGACTCAGTTTAATAAGAATGAACTCTTTAATACGGATATCCAACGAAACTGGGCCGAACTCACTGTACGTATATGTTAACGGTCTATTACGTATAAACTTATTTTTCATTCAACATAAGTCGTTACAAAAAACAACAAATTAATATATAAACACCAAAGCAGATGTGGTTATGCAAATTGTACCGACACAAAACTCGAATACGAGCAAGTTAAATACTATTTAGTATACTTTTTACAGCTTTATATACATATACATATATGACGAAACTTAGCCTTATGGTAGCCAGCAAAGGTATTCAGTTCGGTAGCTTCTGCTAAATGACAAAAAGGGTCCTTAGTCTGAAGAACAATCGATGCTTTTAATTTTAAATACACTTTTCAAGCTTCCAAAAATGGTGAATTGTTAGCTATCTTTACTTCTTGCCTTATGCAAGCGCAGTCCTGAATTACTTAAATACTTTGTAACTTATAAATATTGTCATATATACATATATACTAACCTTAAACACGCTGGGTCCATTCATCTCGAATGGATCCGAGCCGAATAGATCAGTGTTGCCGTTGAGGCCATTGTTGTTGTTGCCCAACGGTGTAATGCGACGCGGTGCTGCAATTTTGGGCGGTGGAGCCACTATGGGTTAGAAATAAATCGTGAATACAGGCAGGATTTATTTTGCATATGGTAAGGGAAGGACTTACATAATGGTGGTGTTATGTTTAGCTCGCTGGAGAAACCACTGCTGTTGATGCTGTTGTTGTTGTTTATCATGCTGCTGCTGTTGTTGTTCTGCAGCTTGTGATCGTTGTTGTTGAAGAAAAGCTGCTGTCCAAAGCTCTTTGAAGGCTCAAAGCCAAATAGATCGTTGCTGATCGCATTACGGCCATTGCTCAAATTGTCGTTTATCTCGTCGGCGCGTGGATCGAAATCGCTATCCGAATCTGAGTTGAGCAGCAATTCGTCCATTTTCTGGCTATTGCTCTTGCTGCTGCTGGTGCTGATTTGGCTTGAAAGATTGTTGCGCGGCGGCACAATAGGCAAGAACGAGTTGGGTGACGATGAGTGTGTCGATACCGTCGTCGAGTTGGTGTCAATCAACAGTTTGTCCTCATCTGAAAAGGTTACAATTGAACACATAAGTATCTAAGCATTTGAACTTCCCAAAAGTTTCAGAGAAAATGAACAATTATAGAATATATAAAATATATATATAAAATAAAATTGTTTCCTTTTTAGTTATCGTTCAACACTATACTAGCAAATCTTTAATGGCCATTATCCGCAGCCCACAAATGATGCAACATCGATAGAACGATTTTTTAAAACTATGTGCTATAGTGGTCTCAATATATTTTTGACGAGTAATGGCAGGATACTTCGGCGCAAAAGCTCCTGCATGATGGGTAAATTATTGATGAAAACAGAAAATCAGACCAATGGGCAGAAGGACATCTATGCTGTTTATATAGTATATGTATCTAATACATATAATCTGCCATTCTTTCTTCTGCGCAACAATTTAAAAATTATATATACTCCCTCACTTTTCAGCATACAAAAATTTAGTCTTTAAATAGAGAGGATGCTAGAAAATTCAAACAGTTTCAGTAATCAATTAAGTATACTCGTATCTAATTATTTTGTCTAAGGCATAACGGGTATGTCCGCTATCATTAAATCGCTAGAGACGTTTGATTATGGCTTCTGTTATTCTTAGAGTGCCTTGGTTATCACCGTGACTAGTTTGGCTGTAACCCCTACAGTAATGGGATTGTTACCTTTCTCCCTGCTTTTCCATTTATTCTTGCTGCGTTGGTTCAACTGTGTATTGCACAAAAAGCAATTGAAAACTTCTACAATTTGTCTTGTTTGACTTGCGAATCGAATCGATTTAAGTAAGTAAAATGTTTAGAATAAATGTCTTTTGACTGAAGGCATTACGAAACTTACCTAGCTTGCCATTGTGTAGAGCTTCACCGCCATACAGTTCAGCGCTTGGCGCCTCCACAATATCCTTAATGCCCAACTTGAACAGCATGGCATCCAGTTCGGCCTTTGGCAATTTGGCGGACAGCTCCTGCAGGCGTTCCTTATAAATGGCAATCGTTTGCTGCAAATGATCGATTTGCTGCTGCGCTTTGTTCAGATTCGTCTTTTCATTGCTGTCCATGTATTTCCTGCGGAGTAAGTTCCAAATTCAACCGAGTGTTCAAGAAAACGTAAACTTGGTTGTTACTCACCTGTAGGCCAAATCGAAAGCCTGCCCAATGGTCAGCGTTATGTCAGACGCCAGTTTATTTGATATGAATACAAAGCACTCGTGCGTTTCCTCAGCCTTGGCGCTGCCATTCATTCCAGTGCCATTGTAACCATTTGTCTCAGCGCTGGACTCTGGTGTCTTCACGGTCTTGGCAATGAAACTAAAGAACTTCTTGACGCCTTTCTCATCCGCACAATACGAGATATTGTACAATGGAAACTGATGCAGTATCTTATGCGTGCGCGGCTCCTGTATTGCCACACCCTTAATGCTTATCGTAATCTCCAGCTTCTTGAATTTTTCCTGTGTACCCGTTTCCGCTTTCTTCATTTGCTGTGCGAACTGCAGTTTCCGTATAGCATCTTTGACCACCTCAATGCCTTTGGGCTGATCCACGCTCAGGTTGCCAAAGAACTTTCAAATGTAAATGGATTATTAACGGAGATGGTTAGTAAGTTTTCTCGTTTATTTACATCAATTTAACAGCCACGAGATTTTAATTTGAGTGCACATTAGCACAAAGAAATTTATGCATGGATAATTCGATAAAATTATAGACCTTTAGTACTTAATACTTTACTATTTACACATACATATATGTATGTAGACATGCGAGTAATTCCTATGACTAAAAATTATCTGAATGTTCCTACATTTGCTAATATTGGTGAACTATTTACAGCAATTTAATCCATTTCACACTGGGAAGAACCTTTTAAAATAATTTCTCATAATTTTTGGTTTTCTTTTATGCTGCTATATTGTAAATCAAACTAAGTCTATTTTTCTCAATTGCCCCATTTTTTGTTCCCTGGAAAAATACCCGAAAAACACTCTTTATATTGCATTTTGCAAACATAACTGTGTAATCTTCACAAGAGAGGGTATTCACCTTGACTAGATAGACCGCATGTCCGTTGATGAGCTGCTCGGGCGTGTGCAGCCAATTGCGTTTGCCGTTCTTTGCCTCGGATTTCGCGTCACCATTGTTGTTGCTGTTTGCGCTATCTGTGTTGTCCTTCTCCTGCTTGTTGTTGTTTTGCTTGTTCCAGAACTTCAGCTGCGACATTTTGGCCGTCTTGCCATTACCCGCGCCGCTGTTGGTTGCTGGTTGATAAGGCATTCTGATCAGCCGGCTGTGGAAGAATGAGTTTTGCATTGAGTTGAGCTTGAACTTTGGTTGCGCTTATCGTTTCCGTTGCTGTTGTAGTTGTTGTGATTATTGTTTTTTCGGATCGGTAGTTGCTACTGCTGTTGACACGCCTGTACATGTGCCTATACAGTTAACATACGTATACATACATACATATATACATATACTTATATACATACTTATGTATGTATGTATTGCTTGTTAGGGGTTTTTCCCATCGTCAGCTAAAATTAAATTTGCAAAAATTCCTACTGTCGCCAGAGCCAGACGGTTGGCTAGGTTTTAGCTACAACTGCTTTGCTAATTATTGTTATACAATCCAAGTGAATCTAAGTGTATTCTTTTGGCTAATTGTAAGTCGTGCTTGAGTTCCTGCATGCATACTTTTATTTCAAATGTGAGACGTCCGTCCGTCGATGCCGTGAAAACCAGTTAATAGTACAGAGTGCAAATGTACCTATCAGTAAAAACCCAAGCAGTTGTAGTGGAACCTCACTTAAGTCGCAGCCTGTGTTTTAGCCACTTGGGGAACCGTCACAAGACACAATAAGGCAAGCCAAGCCAATGCAAGGTTTCGCAGAAATACATATAAAGCAAAAAAGTAGAACAGTCTGAAGTCACCTCTATAAAAGTCACACCTCTGAGTCGTCGTTTTTGTGAACTCTCATGCAGTTCTCACATTTCGTGTTGTCTTGTCTCATAATTAAGATAAATCTTGCGAAATATTATAAAGCTTTTTTCACCAATACAGCCATATTAAGTGAGCATGTTTTTTTCGGCCAGTTATGGAGTCGATTCTCGATAGGTGGAACCTTCTTAACATAAATTTCCCATTTTTGTTTTGAAATAATGCGCAATTTTTTATTTTAATATAGCTTGCATAGGTTGGATTCGTCCAAAACAAAAATACAAAACTTATAGGAATTTGTTCTCCTAGCTTTTTGAAGGGCAACTTGCCAATTCGTATTTTTCCATCGATGGAAAATTATTCAAAAATGTTCTACTACTTTCGAAATATTTTGTATTTTTTCCGAAACAATTCTTAAAATACAAATACACCTAATTCTGTTATTACACTTTATTATTTGTACTCGATTTTGAAAATTAAAAATTGCATACAATTTTCTTTAGAGATAAAGAACCAATTACCTATTTTTGCTTATGATCAATGTCTTTTTTTTACACGGTTGTTTCTGGAACAATCTACCGTGAAAAACAGAATAAGGTGTACATATGTATATACATACAGTTGTATTTATAATTATAGGGAGGTGATGTTTTGAGTTAGGGAAGTTTGACTGTATAACCGAATGTAAATATGTATGTACATATGTATGTACGTATGAATAGTATGTTTGTTTGATTTGTTTTAAAGTTTGCCAAGCCAAAGCGTTGGGAGCGTTAGGCAATAGCAAAAAAGCGAAAGCCAAATTGGCCGAAACTGGCGAATGGTGATGATGACGATCCGGCGACATGTTATAAAACACAAATCAAAAATAGCACAAAGCCAGCTTAACGAAATTAAAAGTGAGGCACCCTGTATATGGCAATTGTGCGCAATTATGGCGCTGCGCAATCAAACAACAAAAATTGAGAAAAACGACAACGCACAAAGTAAACCACGACGAGACGAACAAATATCATGTAGACGGGCTAAACCGCAGTAACAACTGTTGCGGAAGTCATTGTCGCTGTCGTTGGTTTATATTGTTTAGCATGCAAAATGCGTGCGTTTTATGCCACAGATTAGACGACGATGTCGACGAAGACGACAATGAGTCGCAAGTAAATATTGTGGATTGTTGTACACCGAATGTCGCCGGCTGGTACGAGAATATGCTTGTAATGCAGTACATACACATATAATCCATATGTAAATACATATATACATATGTATGTATGTACAAATGTGTGCCGTACTGTATGTAAGTGTATGTACATGTATTCAATTATGCCTGCGTTCAAATTAGTTTGCTGTGCAGCGACTGTAAAATTACTTTGGCCTGTATCTGTCTCTTTCATATTTTCTACTGCCCTCTTCATCTCGTCTGTCATAATTTATGCAGGCGTGTTGGCTGTATGTGTTTTTTAAACGTTGATTTATGTTTTGTCTAGACCACGACAACGACCACAACAAAACTTTCTTTTATTAACTTGTTGCGTGCGCACTCGACTCAAATGGCCTACAGCTTGATGAGGGGCACAGGCGCAGCTGTTGCCCAGTAGTGTGGCAACACTGGCCAAATCCGTTGTTGCCAGCAAACAGGTGTTGTGCCTTGCGCAAAACCATAAACAAATTGCTGTATAAATATTTGCCGACATACATACATACATACATACATATGCATATATAATCGTGCGTCTACAAAGTCTTTAAACACATTGCACAAGTTAAAACTATGTAAATATTATCATCAATAAAACTTTCATAATTAGTAGGCCTGTACAGGCAAATACAACCCCGGCGGATGGTGAGGGTGGTAGATGAGTTGAAACACACACGCACACGTACTCAATTATGATGCTATGCAAAAACGGGCATACAATTAAACACACTGGCACACAAAAAAGTAATTATATACACGTATTTGCACTTTTGCTTTTCGTTGCTTTAAATGTTGTTTTCGTTATAATGAAGCCGCATACCGTTTGTTTAGCAAGCGTTAAATTTCGATGAAAATGCTGCCTTCCGAAAAGAAAAACTGTTACAAATTTTCACCACAATCTCGGACAGCTCAGGAACAGCGGCGGTTCGTACACGACTAAAGGCTGCTGCGTACTAAGCAACAAAAAATCAAAGCTTCAACATTTTCAAGCCCGCACACAGCATCGGAATGGCTATCTGGGTATTGTTTGTATGTATGTATGTATATGAATGAGCATATATTGTATGTGTGTGTGCATAAAATGAACAATAAACAATTGTTAAGATTTGTGTTGTATGCCGCTCGCTGTGAGTTAGATCAAGATTAGAGCGGGATGATGATCTGAGATGTGATCGTGTGTATCGTCAATTGAACATGTATTTATTTATTAACAAATGAAAAAATGCAGCAGTATGTACGTACATACATATATGTATGTACATATGTATGCATGTATGTATGTAGATGAATATGTCGTTCGCTCGCCAGCTCTCAAACTTGGTCGGGACAGTGCCTTTTGTTAATGACAATTCTAAAAGTATCCAAAAGATCAGCGCGACGCATTTCACTCAATCCCGTGGTTAATTACGATTTATTTTCCGCCTTTAATTTGACCTTATTTTTTTTTTAGATTATTATATGTATATATGTATGTATGTATGTATGTATCTATATATGTATGTATATAATTTCTTTAAATAAGAACGCATTCTAAAATGTGTTTATGCGCCACTTACTTTTCACTCGTTAAAATAAGTTCGCTAGTTTCGCTCGCTTTTTTGTTTAGATTGAATTTTTAGAGCGCCTTGCCTTGTGTGCTGATTGAAGAAATTAGTGCAATTGAAGCAGCTGCTGCACAATTTTACATTTACGGTTACAAACTTACACGCGACGCAAACTCACGGAGCAGACGGACGAGCGAAAAATAATGGCAACAACTACTATAATATGTGGGCGATGGAAGTGGAAGCTGTTGACATACATATACTTTATATTTGTATCACTTTGGTACGAATAAAAACAACCGTTTTGGTTTTTATTATTTTCTGAGCGCGCTCTTTTCGTCTTCTCTTTCCTGCACTATACACGAATATGGATCCGGATTTTTCTTTTTTTTTTGCAATACATATATTTTAATATACACTGCGCAAATGTACATCAAACGCGATAAGAGCGGCGGCAACAACAACAGCAGAGACGACTATAGCGACTACGAACCAAACACGAAATAAATTTAAAATTGTATTTTTCGAAAATCCTCACCACCTTCACTGTCACTGTCCGATCACGCGCTCATCCGCCAAGAGACTGCCGCTCAAGCTGCCATTGCGTTAACCAAAAAGTTATGAGGCCGTTTCGTTAGCACCTGCCAGGGCTGCAGACTTGCGCTCAGAGAGAAACTTCAGCGGGAGCAGCTGGAGTATAAAGGCGCAATTGTGCAGTTTGAAATGTGTTTTAAGTTAATGAGTAGACGTAATTAGAGTCTGCTGCTGTTCCAGCCCTGGTTTCTTGTAAATAAAACGAGTTATTGTACATAGGTATTGAAATGACCGGCCAGGTTGACACCTAAAATGCACTGTAAATGTGAAAAAGATGGTCCACATACAGATAGATACAGATGCGTTTACGTTTTAATGTCATTTAAAACATGTTTTAATGTGTTTTTTTTTAGGTATAAAATATATACAAAAATATTTTGCTAAATGACCAATCTAAATAAATATAGTAGATCGATTAATTTATATGCAATACACATATAGGTAGCATATTACAACTTTTTATTTCTGTTTTATTTATAGTCCCATTTGCAGTGTATCTATTTCGATCTCACACTCAAGTGCCCTTTCGTTGAAACTGTAGGTGATTAAGCGTAGTTTTCTCTTTTTCGTTCGTCGTACACACACATTCGACTTATTCCACTCATACATCCATATCAAACATATGCGCGTCCATTTGTTTGCTGATCGCTCATAAATACACACACATTTACATTGATACGAGTGTTTTTATTTATTTGTCGTATGTACCTGTTGTCTTTCAATTGTTTTAAAATTTTCCAGAAAAGACATTTGACAATTTGCAGATCGTGCATCGAGTTCAGAAAATGCCAAATTAATATTACAGCAACGAAAACAAACACAGCTACAGGTGGCTGGTAAAATACATGCATGCATGCCAGTATGTGTCATGTTGGGATTACCAGTGTGTGCGTGTGTGTGTGTGTCTGTGAGTCTTAGCTTGTACCAAAAAAACAAAGAGCCTGGCCACAAAACAATTTTGTTTTTGCTGTTACTGCTTTTGAAGAAGAAGAACATCAACAGGGCAAAAACAAAAATATACATATGTATATACATACATAAGTGTGTTATATACATGTACAAGTATGTAGGTATATAATGTGATACGTAATAGGTGGGTTTGTTTGGTTAAATTGCAATAAAACTGGTTTCCTAAGTCAAGCGAATAATGTACATACATACATATGTACGTACATGTATGTATGTATGATGAATACTTGTAAGAGTTTTATTTTCATTGTTGCCACAGCCTGGCCCCTGCTATTGCTTTTGTTTTTGGTTTTGTTGTAGTAGTCAAATGCATGCCGCTGCATATTTTCAGTTTTTCCTTTAAATTTGCCTTTTTGCTGAAAACCCACCTGCCCCTTCTCACAACCAACCGCAAACACTCATTGTAAGTGCATGTGTTTTTGTTGCAGTTGCTGGTGTTTCGGCGGCCCCAACAACTCCGTAGATGCTTCCAAACCGGCTTGGCGTGTATGTACATATGTACATTTATATGTATGTATGTATGTATGCCTGTGCATTCGTATGTATTTGTGCTTGTGTATAACTGCAGTTACTTGGCGCACCACGGCCCACAAAATAAATAAAAATAATGACACAGGCACTGTGGTCCCAAAAGGGCCCAGCTTTGATTTTTTCAAAATATCATATAGCTTCATTTGATATTTGGAATTTGATTGTCCCACTACAAACACGTTTGTTGGTTTGTTTAAATTGTATTTCACTCAATTAGACACGCAAAATTCATAGATTTCTACAACTTGTAAGAATAAAAACTAAAACTATATTCGCAACAAAGAACATAAAGATATAAAGAAACTAATTAATTTCTAAATCTCTTATTGGAAATAAATTGCTAAAAATATAATCAATGTTAAATGAGCTAATATAGCTAATTAATATAATTTGGTACGTTTTATTTTGTAACAATTACATAATAAAATGGCTAATACTTTTTCAATTAGGAATGTTTGTGATAATTATGCAATTTTATAGACAAAATTAACCAAGCAGTCGTATTTTACTACGGTTTTCTCGGTCATGAAATATAATTAAAAGAATTAATTAAAATCCCACCTCGTTTAAAACACCTAAATTGGTATTTTCGACATTTCTACAATTTATTAAAGAACTTGTCACAGTGACAAATTATTGCTTATAAACAAAAATAAATGAACAGTTTTATGGAACCTTCATGATAGTTCACCATAAATTTTGATGAACAATTTTGTTGTTTAAATTGAAAAGAAAAATTCATGTACGTATTTTATTGGAAGGGCTGCTAGTGCTTTGACAACAAAAAAGAAGATTATACTATATATTTTTAACATACAAGATGGCAATTTGTTATATTACACCGCCAGAATTACCCAGAAGGTTTTATTTAAAAACAATGGTTGGGTTACGCTTACTCAAGATTGTCGTACAGACGGTCATAGGTCAAGAGAAATAGTGGACTAATTTATTACTGTTTTGTAATTTATTTATACTTAAACCTGTACATACAACAGATGCTGTATCCACTGTGCACGCTGGTATTTGGCTGAGTCTTTTTAGCCTCACTTGCTGAATCACATTGCCTGTTAATGTTGTTGTTGTTGTTGTTTTTGCATTTCGCACGCATTTCCACACATTTTTGCAACAGCCGCGGCAACGGCGACAACAACAAAGGCAACGTGCACAATGTTGGCCATTTACAGTTACTGTAAATGCTGTTATTGCCATTTTCTCTGAACCAACTTTATTACCAGTTCCATTTTCCGCTGCAAAATTGCATTTTGTTTTCATTGAGGTTTTCGTTTTATTTTTTAAAATTATATTTGTACATACATATGTACATGTATGTGTCTATACATAATACGCACAGTTATGGACACACGAACAGTGCCAATTGTCACAAATTACTGATACTTATGTATGTATGTATGTACATAGGTTCAACATTCAAACATACATATTATATTCTATGCGTCAGTTCAGACCATTACTTTTCCTTTTACCTTTCATTTTTTGCTCCCCCCTCCCCACTACAGAATTGCGCCAATACTGTCATAATTCCAAAGCAACATCAAACATTTTATACACATTATTTATTTGTAATTTTCTTCCTTCATTCAGATTTCAATAGGATATTTCTAAGAAATCGTATCATCGGAATGATTAAACGCCATTTATTTTGTCTTCTGCTATAGGGGCGGATAATAACATAACACAGTTTTTTAGGTAGAGTATTTCAATAATAAATATCAGTTTGGTAAAAATTATTCAATAAAACAACAATTTTTTTGCAGTATATTTGCAAACATTACTTGTTATAACACTCGTATTATATATTATTAAAACATCACTGATCACATTGTGCGTCGTTAATATATATATGAATTATTTTTAAGATTTAAAAAAAGAATTCTTTACTTTCAAATAACGAAAGACCATAAAATCTACATACGTTTTCGCACCTTTATCGTCAAATGCGTAACATATCTGGGAACTTTAGTTGCATCCAATATTTTATCAGGTATTTAAGTTATGCTGCTTTTAAAATAGACCCATTATCTGGGTCTATTCAAAAGTCTGCTCAAAATTTCAGGTCCCTGAAGCAAAAAAAAAGCCTAATGCAGAGCTGAAGTTTTGGGCGTTCAAGTACTGGAGTAATGTTGTTTCGCAAATAATTTGGTTATTCTTAATTATTAAGTCTGTGCAAAAAAATATAACAGAAAGAAGGGACCAACTCCGACCCCATAAAGTATAATATACATTCATATGTATGTACATACATTCATTTGTATGTATGTAAATATAAAACCATAATCTGTTTAAAATAGAAAAAGTAATATTTTGTCTTTGATTTTATTTTCGCCATTTCTTTGACCACAGCTGTATGCACAAACATATATGTATTATGTATATAGGAATGAGTGTGTATAGTATTTATGTTGCTGTACTCTTTGTTACACTTCACAGGGTGGGTCATGTGTGTGTGCCCAACGCCCCGTCAAGCTTTTGTAAGAAAGTGGGCGTGGTGGATCAGTCGGAGCATGCAAATTATACAAAATATTGTTTTTAATTTTGCAATTGCCATCAATTCATAAATTTGTTGCTGATGTTGGTATGCTTATCGAAATCGTCAACAGGGGGCGTTGACAGCGCCTGCTTGATGTGGCGGCGTATGGGGTATTGTTTCAAACCGGGTTTTGCGTCGCGCCCGATTTTTTTTTGATTTTGGCGAGTTCTTTTATTCTATATTCATTTTGATATTTTTGCGAGTTCAAAGGCCCAATTAACTAAATGTGAATGCATACACATGTATGTATGTATGTACATATGTATATATGATTTTGTTGCAGCGCAGTTGGCAGTCGGACTTTTATCGCAAATGTCATTAAAATAAAAATTATTGTATTTGTGCATTTATCAAATGTTGCGATGGGAGCAAGTTTTTCTTGTTGTAGAAACGTGCTGGTATTTTCAAGCGCAATCATCGGATTGTGTGAGCCTGGGTGCGGGTCGAGTAACGTTGACAGCGAAGTCGACGCCGACAGCGACATGAACAGCAACAGCATAATTTACGTGCCGATTTTAAAGCGCAGTGCAAGTCACGTTTTTGTTTCACGCTATTTGACTGATGGACGAGTCTGCTTATCACAGCGCTCTAATCACACACATGGAAGACTCTGCCAATAAAACACCCTGTACGCAAGTGTACCAACCTATGCATACATACATACACACACATATGTATGTATGTACGTGTATATGTACCTTCGTATGTAAATATTAAAGTACGTGTGTACTGTGAACGCATTGCGCTTATCTCATTAAGCGTAGTGCTCTGGCTTTCGGATGGATGATTGACTTGACTGGTTGGTTGGTTAGCTTATCAGCGTCATAGTCACAGTGGCGGCAGATTTTTAGTGGGCCGACAAAAAAAAAAAATTAAGTCGCTAAACGCCCCTCTTTCAACCAGACAAACTCACAATTGCCTTTGCCATATGTATGTAGCTTTTCAAGTAATTCAATTATTTTGTATAATATTTTCAATGTGCAACAAAAGCGACAATAAAATAACAACCGCAACAACAACAGAAAAACAGATAACAACGTCAGTAAACTTTTGTTGTTTTTGTTGCCTTTGTTGTTTTGTGACTGTGTGTGTATGTGTGATTTTACACACTGGCACCGACTGGCACTGGCAATTATTCTGTATTCGCTTGGTGGTTTTTGATAGTGTGAATGTGTCGCTGTGGCTTCCGTCGTTTTGTTGATGACGGAGGTGCGGCGAAAGTTTTTACTTTGCAGGAAAAACCAAGTATAACAAGACCTCATGCACAAACCTTAATTTTGGGGATTATTTAGAATGTAAATGTAAATAGCAACGAAAACACTGTTTTGCTATCCATACATATTTCAATGATTTTTCTAAGCTACTTAGAATAGTCGCACAAATATATCGCAATTTAAATATGAATGCCAGAGCGCGCGTAATATTTTTTGGCTGTTGGCAATGCCCTGCACCACGAGCAGCTGTTTGGGTAGAGAGATATTGGCGCTATTTCAATCGGTGTGCACACACTATAGATGATTTATAAGTAGTTATTAAAAAAATTGTTAATAAATAGTTTTGAAGGACTCAATTGCTGAAAACATAAATTGAGAAATCTTGGGTAAGAGCAAATAAAATTTTTAAATGAAGTTTGGTATGATAATATTTCTTCTTTCTATATTTATCATAACATACAAAAAATAGTAAAAAGGTCAATTTTTAGTACAATGCTGGAGATAATAAATAAAATAAAATGAAAACAGAATTTCGCGGGCTCTACTCCTTTCAATAAGGTGGCACCACCACCAAATAGTGCCCGTGGATATCGATATGAAGCAGTGGCTCTTACAAATCGATACATAAATGAGTAAACTAGTGGCAACCTTCCAGCTCTGAAGTCAACAATCATTTGTTGCTAAATTGTTTAAACAACTGTAGTTTGTAACAAAAATATTGATTTTTTATTTAATTAATCGCGCCTGCGCATCCGTGTGTAACAAATTCCGTACGAAACGTGCTCGCCTTATATACGCACAACCATAGTGAAAATATTTGTTTACATCTGGTGGCCTGTTAGTGCTGTCCTAAATATCGAGAAGTTTTCCTCAAACAAACTCTCCCGAAATGATGTCTTGCCAGGATCTAAATCTTCTGAGTTAGTGAACAGTGTTCCAGTCGCCGAGGTCGCATCTGGATGGCTCCCATGGAATTTAATTGCCTCGTTTGTCGTCGCAGTTGCTGGTGCTGTGGTGGGCTCGGTGGCAGTGGCACCCAAAAAGAATGGAAACCTATCGTCTAAATCTGCAACTACGTAAGTATATGGGCTGGCTTTACAAACATACTTATGTTGGCCACATAATTAGGCCAATTAACCGTACCAATGAACGTGCCATCGTCTTATCGGTTGTTAGTTGTTGGCTGATAAGTGCGCTTTGATTACAGCTTTACGTATTGGTTTTTCAATTAGTTTTGTTTTACTTCGACGATGGCAGTGGGTTGGGCTTTGCAGTCAAACAACGCAAACGTTGGAGAGGGTGATAGGGGGTGGGATTGGCAAGGGCAGCTTGCGTTTGTTTGCTTCTATACGTGGTTCTGGGCCTACACGCAAATTTGGTATTGCGCTTATGGGTATGCAATGCTTTTTGTTTAAGTTCGACTGCGCTCCCTCGTAGGTATGAGTAGTATTAATTTAACCCGTTGTTGGCCAAGAGGACCCTGATTTTTTTTTTACAAATCAACTCCTATCAATATAAAAATAAGAAAAATAAATATTTTCTCATTTTTTCTAATACAGCTTATTTGTGATATGATTTAAATAATAATAATAATATTTTCTTCGCTCATTTAATAGTGGCAAGGAAGGGGAACTCAAATCAGTTTTAAAACTGATTAATAATGAGAGATTTGATAGTTTTATGATCATGGAGAGAAAACTTTGTCATAATCATATATTTTAAAGTTATATATTTTAAAGTTCTTTTAAATATACTTATATTAATGGCACAGTGGTGCGAATTATTATTATTATTAATCAACTGTAATAGTATTTGATATACTTTTGTTCTATCTTTTAACTAATAAAAACATAAATATAATTATGGTGGATTTGTAATGAGGATTTTAATTAGCAAGTAGAAATCAGAGCATGGCTTAAAAAGCCTATGTTTATATTATATTATGCTGCTATGTATAAAGTCATCGTTATTAAGCGCTTGAAAAATGAAAGAGGTGTTGGAAATATGAAGGGCCCTGTAATGAATTTTAGTGCAGGAACAAAACAAAACCGAGGGTCTGAAAAACAAACGAAAGTGGGACCTATTATTAAAATTTATGAACTAAATTTGTAGTTTTTCGTATCTTCATAATTTATACAACTTGATAAGTTTAAAGGTACATATTAGTGACCGATTATTTTTGACCAATGTATCAAAGAAAAACAACCTGAAAAGTTATGTGATAGCTTAAATTTTTTAAATATTTCTACAAGGCAATGCTCAGACCCATGGGAAAGAAGAATTTATAAATTAAATTATTTTGCTGAAAATGTTTATTTTTTTTATCTCCAAGGTTAGCCATGTTAAGCTTGCGATAGAGAAATCCAATATACAAATCCAATAAGGGCACATATTGTGTATGGGATATTTCCCTAAGTCGGACACTCAATTTTAATTTATTTGCATTGAAGTTTCGCTCGCTTTTCGCCCACTGTGCAAGTTATTTCAATGGGCTCATATCAAAAGCCACGACGAACGCAAAAATATGCGAAACATCATCGCGGCCAAAGTGTTTTATGTATTACGCGAAAAATATCGCACTGCCCAGAGTCCGGCCCAGTGCTATACTCGTACGTTGATATTAGTAATCCTGTTGTTGTAGCTGCAAGACAGACTGCCCGAAAATGGTCGTGTGAGTGTGTGTTGTTGGCATTTTGGTCTGTGCACTGCCATACATTACAATGAAGTATGCGAGTCTGAATGAATGGCTAAACTGACTACCGGACTGGCCGACTGATTGTTTTGCCTTGCGTGGAAGGAAAGCAGGCAGGCGACCTTTTCACAATCGCGCCCGTGCACTAATACACTCATACCTACATATAATGTATGTGTATAAGTATGGATACATACATATATGGTCGAAGAGCTGCCAGAAAAGTTAGGAAAAGACACAGGCAGTGCAATTTTGGCCAGCAGCTAATTATGACCCGCACGTTTTTCAAAACAAACAGCACACTTTTGGGGGCGTGTGTCAGAGTGTTTGGCTTTGTGTGTGACCCTGTACGTGTTTCTGAATGTATATGTGCTTGTGAGTGTGTGTGTGTGTGCGTGGTTCAAGTGTCAGGCGGGCCAGGCAAGTGTTTAGCCACGTTTAAATGTTTCCGGCGCGCACTTTTGTTTCGTGTCGCTTTTAGCCTTGGAGTCTATATTTGGCAACGCATGCAACGACAGAAGCAGTGAGGACGGCAGCGCCTGACACCTTTAGCCATCTTCTGGCTATATATACTACATACATACATATATATTTATTTATTTGTTTGTGGCTCCTGCCCTTAAGCTCTGTTCAGATAGTGAAACAAATTTCTGCAAAAGAGCAATAAAAACGACTTTTATGAATGCCTGAGTCATCAAGTAAATGTCACATCAATGCTCATTCGTTTCAGCTCGTTCCGGTGACACAACGTAAAATCTTACCGAGCCTAGATATGCATGGTATACAAAATTAAAAATATAAATGTTTAGAAGTACAAAAAAAAAAAACATGCAAGAGAATCGTCATTTGATTAATTAAATATTCAAACAATCTTTGACAAAATGTGAATCTAAATCGGGCTATTTAATCATCTTAATTCGAAAGTATATATACTATACTATACAATATATACTCTACAACAACAAATTTAAAATATCATATTGAAACTTCTCTTTCCTAAAAAGTTATGGGAAAATATAAGACGAGAGTGACAAGAATTACTATTAATTTGTATTTCTTATGTTTACATTTTGAATATTAATTAATTCTTTGCAGTTATTGAAGTGCAATTATTTAATAATTGGGTATACATAACAAGTAGAACGAGGTACATACATTATACTATAATGATTATAGTTAATGAATCATGTAGACTATTAAATCTATTACAGACCCTAATAGTCTCAATATTTTATAAAGCTCCGAAAGGACCAACCGCTTAAAAATTACTGCCTCAACCTAATTTGTAATCATCATACATATAGATGTCAAATTGCTAAGAATTCCTAAGTGATTTATAGTGCCCCACTAAAATGTGAAGTTGCATTGATTGAATACTAGTTACTAGTCCAAGGATTGTGGTAGAGTGAAAGGGGGAAGTACAGGGTATGCTCGCGTGCTGTTAATGTTCTAGTCGTTCATTTTAAATTAATGTGTTATAAAATACTATATACGAGTAGGTTGTGTAAAGCCCAATGAAGTGGTATAGGTTTAGGTTTAATTTATTGGATAAGTTGCTATAGTCTGTGAATTAGCAACCAAACCTTCAGTTAAAGTTAATATTTTTTTTTTCGAATATTGTTTTGAAGTTTGCATACATTTTTGTCTGTTCCTTCTTTTTTCAATTTTGTGGCAGTAGTTGTTCGAGTGTGAACGGCACTTACTAGTAAGTTGGTCTGAGTGGACAACATGGTTGGCTTTCTTGTTTGTTGTTTGTTGTTTGTTGCACTTTTATTGCGCGTTGGCCGGCTAAGTAGTATGGCCACTTGTGTACGAGTGTGTGTGTGAGTGTGTGCCATAAATATGTCGTCTTTCGGCGCCGCTGTCATTGTTAGCTGGCAAAATGGCCGCCAAGTTTAAGCCAGTGACCGCGCAACATACGTGTACGCGCGACATTTCTCATGCCCCTTTCATTGCCCAACTTTTGCTCTTGTCTTTTTGGGCCAGCATGTGAAAGTGCAACAATGGCGTTCTCATCGTGGTCGTCGTGGTGGTCGTGGTTGTTGCGCCCCTTGTCGACTGTCAATTTCTAATGCCGGGCCAAATGTGTTTACAATGCTGGTCCTGTCTGTTTCTGGCCGTTTTGCATGCACGTTGACAATATGAAGTAATAAATTTCCGGCAGTTTATCTTTCTTGAAAGCGCGCGCTCTCTCGTCCGGCACGGTCGACCGGCTAACGGCGAACGGCGAATGGGTTGCTACTCAACTTAGCTACAATGGCCAGCCCCCAAGTATCTTTTGCATCTAAACACAATAGTAGTTTGTCAATTTGCTTTTCGGGGCGTTGAGTTATGCGTTGAGCTGACAGGAGCGCGACAACATTTTTTTGTTTCGGCCTTTTGGCAGCAATTTGTTCATAATAATACAAATCTGTTTGCTTTGCAGCCAACAACAATAACAACAGCAACCACAGCAAAAATGGCCAAAGCCGTGCCACAACTCTGGTCAAATCACAAAGCAGTGGCAAACTTAATAAGAACAGCGAAGCAGAGGCGACAACGACCAGCACTTTACGAGCGGCCAAGCTTAAAATCGAGGCCATGCAACAGCAACAGCAACAGCAGCAACACCAGCAGCAAAAACAACAGCTTAGCAGCAACGGCAGCAACTTCATCTTGCTGCGCGGCACGCGCAATGAAAATGGTCAAATCGTCATACAAAATAAGCAGGACATTTTAAGTCTGTTGAACGAGCAGCAACAGCAGCAGCAGCAGCAACAGGAGAAAGCAACTGCCATTACGTTAAACCAGCTGCCGACAACAACAACAATAGCGCGTAAGACCATTCTACAAACGACCAATGCCAGCTCAAGCATTTCCATTCTCGCTACCAACAACAATAATCTGGCCAAGGACTCCATTAGCAGTAGCAACAATGGCAACACCATTCTGTTGCAAACACCTATTAATGCTACTCAGTTGGAGAGTGTATTGAAGGCGCAGGGTGCGCCGGCCATATCAACAGCAACAGCAACAACAACAACAACAACGAAGCATAGTCTGGTTACTGTCTCCGACAAGGCAGCAGCAGCATCTGCAGCAACAACAGCAACATCCAAACTCATTGAACGTCCATTTATGTTGAAACATGTAAGTTGAAAAACAAAGCAGAGCATTGAACTCGTCATACTTATTAATATCATTTAATCTTTGCGACTAGGCCTCGCGTAGTCTTAGCTCGGAAAGCAATTGCGACAGCAAATCTCCGTTTGTGTTGCAGACCCTTAAACGCTTGGAGAAGTCACAGTCCATACTGGTTATACGCAATTCGTCGTCTGGCTCTGCGGTGAGCAGCACGACCAACATCAACAATACAAGCAGCAATGGTGGCAGCAGCAACAACGCCCAGACACAGCATGTGCTGAGCGTAACACGAACTGCGAAGGCGCCCAAAGGTGTGGCCACAACGTTGCATAAGCTCAAAGCACCACCGGCAACGGCTACGGCAGCAACAACAACAACGCCGGCAACTACTATCTACCGTTTGGGCAGCACTAACAATGGCACAACGTTGGCCGTCAAGCAGTTGAGTAGCAGCAACAACAATAATTGCAGCAGTAACAACAATAAGCAACAGCTTGAAGCGCTGGAGCGTCTGAGTGTGAATGCCACAGCGACGACAACAACTACAGCAACGGTCAATAAATTGTGTTTAACAGCAACAACGACAACAACATCACCAGTTGAGCAGCAGCAGCAGCAACAGCAACAGCAACAGCAACAGCAGCTGAAACAACAACAGCAACAACAACTAACGTCAACGCAAATGAATGTGCCACTTGGGAACGGTAAGTCTGTTATCCCCCCGCCCTTTGACCTCTGCCGCTTGTCGGTTTTAGTGTATTTTTGATGCGGCGCATAAATTTGCGCTCAGCAGGTGTAAACAAACAGTTAGTAGCCATGGGATCGCATGTCTCTCATCACGCTGACGCAATCTTCCAGGGTGCTGGATAAAGGATTGTCTTTGTTTCCCAGTTGAGTGTTGACCTCACTTTTTCTGTTGCATGTTTCAAGGCGCGAAATTCGAAATGTTGCCTTTAAAGCCGTGTTCGCAATTGTGTTGAGTAATTTCTGCTGATTCGGCTTTCCGTCTTTTATTGCTGTTGTTCTTGTTGTTTGCATTGTCCTGCACACGCCGCTCATTTGGACTTGTACGTGTTTGGCATGCCTAACAATTATTCAATTAAATGTGAATAAACTTCGCCCGTGGCTGTGGCACCACTGCCTCTATTGTGCCGAATGCTCTTTGCTTCAGCTTGCCATTCACTCAACTGTAAATGCCACTGAGGCTCATTGATTTTAACACTAGCCAGCCGCGCTGCCATTTGAATCCCATGTTCCTGATGATGATGGGATCGCTGGGGAGCATTAGCGCTGCCTTAGGAATTGACTGACACAAAGCAGCCTTGTTTCGTCCAATCACTCACTGAAATTCTGTACAATTCTGTATAAAAGTTCGCTTTTATATTGGAGTATTAAGTAGAAGATGAAGGGCACTTTTCGCCATAATGTGAAAAGCTTTACAAGAAGTGGAAACTTTGAGTTCGTGAAAGTCTGTTTTGCTGAGTCTACTCTTTAAAGCTTCAATTCAAATTAATGCCTGATCAGCCTGATCAAACTTTCGTCATATACATACATACATATACTATGTATAGCATTTATGATAGAAGCAGATTTTCAGAGAATCTATAGTCGAGTTTACTATATAAGTAACGCCAAGAAGCAATACAGTGATCCTAAAAAGTATATACTCGTATAGTACATATATTCTTGATCAGTACGTCGAGATGAGTCTATAAAGCCATGTCCGCCTGCTCGTACGTATAACCAAACTAACATTAATATTAATATTCCCCCAAGCCCTAAGAACGATAAGATCATGTTTTATTTTCGTAACCTTCATATTTGAGTTTGGAGTTTGGTCCGCAATTGTGTACTGTTAGTGATGGGTTGTTAGGCTTGTTATATCTTGAACCCAAAGGTTGAAATGGTTTACTTGATTTGTGTGAATGTGAGGTGTTCCAGACCTTAGAATTTATATAGATACTCGTTTATTAGTGATCAGCATGAGAAGTATAGTCGATATAGCCGTTTGTTTGTTTATCTATGTCTACCCTTTGCGTAGTGTATAATGAGGATGAATTTAAAAAAATGAAATACTTATTTTAATTTAAAAAAAGAAACAAATATTTTTCCCTTTGAGTAATTTTCTTATTATACATTTATAAGATTGTACATTCCATAATTATCGGACATCACGAATTTGCATGTGTTCTGCTTGCATTAGAGTACTAATTATATTTATCCATTGAGCCTAAAGAATTCCTAATTCACCTTCCCACTCGCTCTGCAGCATTTATCGAGCAAATGGAAACATGAAATGGTGCTCGAGCTCAACGTTTGAATGCCTTGGAGATTGTCGTTGTCGATTAGCCAAGTGGTGACTTGAGTTGGAAGCGCACGATTCCAAAGCGCGCCCGAGGACAACAAATTCAAGACAATTGCTGATGTCTACAGAAATAGCAGCAGCGTTGTTGTTGTTGTTCCTTTCAGATAAAATGTGCAGCAAGTCTACCAAGAAAACATACACACTATACATATGTACCAACTAAGTATACAGTATGTGCGCATGTACAGGCCCTGAAGCTAACCCCACCAGTTACCAAGGGCGCATGAGAAGAGATTTGGCTCATTTGGTGAACTATTCCATCAGTTGTTTTGATGTGGTTGTGTTTACACGATTTGTTCATAAGTTAGTTGTATTTCTTATCGATTGCTTGCAAAATACTTGAAAGCATGCCAAAATGTATCCTAACATTTATTAGTAATGGATAAGTAACAAGTGGATTTAGCAATGCCATTAGCCGTGTATTTCCACTTTATTGTTGTATTCAGTACCTGAAAAGTAGAAGGAGATTTATACATTCTTGATCAGCATGTAAAGATTAGTCGATTTAGCCTTGTTTGTCTATCTGTCTGTCCGTACGTCCGTCCGTCCGTATGAACTCCTAGATCTCAGAGAACATAAGAGCTAGAGTTACACAATTTTGCACACAGATGCCCTATATGTGCATGCTGTACAAGTTCATTTTGTATACCAGCCTGGCTCAACTCCGTGCTGCACACATGCTCACACAGACAGACAAACAGACACTCATAGACACAATTCCGATATAATGTGCAGTAATCCACCCTTTACGTGAGTTCGACTGCCAAAGAACGTATAATCGATCACATTTTTTCACTCATTGTTTTTTTTTTTAGCTTTATATACATAATTATTCTACACTATTTTAAATTTTCCGGTTGCTTTTACTATTTATTTATGACAATGGGTGTAATCTATAATATTGCAAAACTCCTCTAATAATGGAATGTTGCTGTGCTAGTGTTAGTTTATAATACCGAAAAGGAAGATGGTAGATCACCATGTGTACATACAAGTACTTATATGATCAGCATGAAAGTATTTCGAGATCAAGTATGTCGTCATATCAGCCAACATATAACTGTACAAACGATATGTTTTGAAAAGATAGCATTATACTAGAAGCTCCAAAAGCCATTATATAGGTACATAAGAGTCGAATCGAAATAGACATGTCTGTCTGTCCGCCCGTATGAACAGCGATACCTTTAGAACTCTAACATCTAGGGACACCAAACTTGGTATCCAGACTTGTGCTATTCACCGGAAGAGCAAGACTCATTGGGCGATCGGTGTAAAAATCACTTCAAATAGGATATACTGTTAGTTTTTGCTCAAGCTAGTTTGGTATTTATGAGATTTTCATAATACCTTATGATATTCTGAAGTTCAAAATCGTTGCACTATATCATGTAGCTTGCATAGGAACGATCGATTTTTAGTACCAAAAACTTGTATGCTTATAGAGAAAATTAGAACAAATGTAGTATTTATGAGTTTATACGTACTACTTATATACTTGTGTAACGCAACAAGTTTTGGCCAAAAGTGTCAAACTAACGTCCTTTCAGATACTCTTCGTTATCCATCAGGCACCTTAATTCGGACAACTGGTAAGGGGCGAATAGCAGGATACTAATTGTAACTATTCTGTATAAGTCCTCTTCTATGACAAGCAAAAATAACTGTGGGATAATTCCAATACCCGCTAACCACACGAGCTTAGAATAAAGTTGTTCTTGTAAGTCACATGGGTATATATCTTCGGTGCAGCCCAAGATAAGAACTTGGCTCATTGTTTTCGAGTATAAGGATATTTGAGCCCAAGTGCACATTGAAAGTGTTGCTCATATATCTGATGGGGTAGCATCAATTGTGGGGCGAATGGTTAGCAAAATAGTGAGCTGGAAAAAAAGTATGTATACTACAAGATTAATTGTGTTTTCTGTTCTTGGTAACTGATGCTTTGTTGCGCTATGCCGTTGGCCCACAGGGAGTTAGTTCAACTGTAAGTCTTGGCATTAGTTCCTATAATGAACTAGCATGTAACTAGTGCTGCGGTGGTAATTGCTCTGTTTTGTGCTGCTGGGTATAGTAATACATTTGTATGTACAAACGTATCTATTAGGTGTTGATTATTTCGTTCGATACTCACAGCCATTTCTCGCCTTTGTTTTTTGCCACAATTTTTGTATTTTTTGCTGAGTTGCCGAAGCATTTTTTTGGTTGGTTTTTTTTTTTTTGGAGCGTGTTGTGGAAGCGTCAGCAGAATATAACAGCCAACAGTTCACGTTGAGGCTGGCAAGTGATTTTTAAACAAGATTCAAGTTATGGCTGTAGCCGTCTTATGTGGGTGTGAAGTGGCTAACTGTCGCCACCGTCGCCCCGTCGCATCCGTCCTTGCCGCCGCTTCTGGCCATATTAAAACTTGAGTAATGCCGATATTTCAATTGCCTTGCCAAGCATTTGGGTTTGTCTTATCCATGGGGCATGCTTGATTTTTGGCTTATTGTGCAGTCTGTTCATATGCCAATGCAGACAAGCTAAGCTAAGCACACATCAACACACACACACACACACGCACAAGATGGCTATCTTATATATTTGTAGCTAGAAAATGCAAACCTGCTGCCTTGCATCGACTTGGGCGGGCGGGGGACCGACTGTTTGTGTGCACTTTATTGATAAAACTTTGAGGAAAATTTAAAATATTTTAATTTAGTTGTAGTTTAGTTTAGTTTTGCCATTACTGCACTTTTTTTTATCATAGTCGCGTAGGCCGTGGCCACAGCCATTAGCCAACCTTCAAAAAGTGCCGAAATGTGTCGGTCTCTGCTTCATTTTTTATTCTTTTTGGAAAGGCTGGCAAATTAAACAAATTACCAACAGCCGCGCAAGCACGACCGACAGACACCTACGAGTACATGCATACAAGTATACATACATACATACGTACTTGTACATACTACATGCTACAAAGTATCTGTGAGATACTTTTGCATGCACATGGCGCTGTCATGTGTTCAGCAAATCTACCGTGCACCACACTTGTTCCAGTTGCTTTTTTATACTTTCTTTCAAAATCCTTTGGCTCGCTCGGGCTTGCTTCATTATCATTATTTTCGTGTGCTTTTTTTCAAGCACATAATTGCCAAACGAAACAAAAAAGTTTTGCACCCAATGTGCAAAAACTTTTGCATTTCCGTTGTTATGAAACTTGAGCGCCAACTGGATTGTACCCTCCTGCCTTCTTCCCCTCCCCACCCCTTGCTTCCCACGAAAAAGAACAGATTGATGGAAAAAAAATGGCAAAAGAAAAATGCAAATAACAATCTCCGCTTTCTATGTGTGTTAAATTGC